AAGATAAGAGATACCATAACAGACATTATAGGTTTAAAGAGAATTCAGGCACAAAGGAAATGTCTGGAGATCTACAAAGATGACACCAATGAATGATTTAAGCAACAGAGGAGATGTTAAATGCCTTCCCCTGATAAAGAGACTGAAGACTAACTTATATCCTATCCTATAGCCTTCATCCCGCAGTAGAATCAGACACCCACAGCTAAACACTGAACTGAACTGTAATCCAGTTGCAGAGAAGGGGGAGTGATGAGAAAAGGGGTTCAGATCAGGCTGAAGCCCACAGAAACAGCTGACCTGAACAAGGGAGTCCATGGTCCCCAGACTGATAGCTGGGAAACTAGCAGGAGACTGATCCAGACCCCACGAACATGGTGTCAGTGAGGAGATCTCAGAAATCTATGGGGCCCCTTATCCCTAGCATAGGAATGGACTTTGGGAGCCAATTCCACATAGAGGGATACTCTCTGAGCCTAGAAACACGGGATGTGTGTCTATCCCATATCCTATCCCAAAGGATATGACAGACTCATAAGACTCCCTATGGAAGGCCTCATCCTCCCTGGGGAGCAGAAAGGGTATTTGTTGGGGGGGGCAGGGGAAGGAGGGAGCGGGAACTGGAATTAACATGTAAAACAATATTGTTTCTAGCTCAAATAAAAAATTTCAAAAAAAAAAAGAAAAGAAAAGCTCAAAGTGTGAGAAACCCATGATCATGGTCACAACTTGCAAAGTCTAGGCTGGGGGATATCCATCCCATTTCTATATGTGCCGAGAAACATGCAGGAGTACTCTGTGCAGCTCTGCTTTTATTAGCAAATAAAGTGGGAACAAACTAGCCTCCTGCCAGTAGAGATGTGAGTAATTTAGAGATGTTGTCTGTGTGTGTGTGTGTGTGTGTGTGTGTGTGTGTGTGTGTGTGTGTGTGTTGTGTAGGGCAGATGACAACATCAGATGTCCTTCTGTATTAGTTTGTAGTTTATTTTTTGGGACAAGTTCTACTGAACCTGGAGCTTGCTGCTTTGGTTAGATTGCCTGGCCAGGGAGCCTCCAGGATCCACCTGTCTCTGCCTCCACCAGCACAGGGTTTATGATATGTGCTGCACTGCTTGGCTTTTCACCTGGGTGCTGGGAATCGGAACTCAGTCCTCATGCTATGCAGCAAGCACGCTACTCATTGAGTCATCTCCGCAGGCCCAGGGACAACATGTTATTATAGGACGTATTTTATAGCAGTGAGAAGGCAGTACCACTGACTGCCATGTATCGGAGAGAGATTACTCACACACATATGTATATATATATATATATATACATAATAAAAATAAAGTAACTATTTAAAGAGAAAAGTGATTTTATGTGAAAATGAAAAAATGTAAATGTTACTTCCTCAATGAAACAATATGTACGGATATACATAAACAGATAATTTAAGAATACACTTGCTTATGTAAATATGTATGTAATAATAGCAAAATAGGCATTGTTACCTTGAGGAGAATAGAAGAATATTGAGAATGGCTTCCAGGAGAATCTGTCATATCATATTTCTTTCATAAATTGATTTAATTATAGTAAAAACTTAACATGTACTTGTTGTGGAATGTTAGCTGAAGATGTGTTATATTCATTTATGCTGTGGAATATTTGTTTAATAATGCAAAAGATGTGGTGCATTCTTTGATGCTGCATTTGCTTAACTCTGTGAAGCTGTGTTACTTTGCCTGTTTCAAACACCTGATTAGTCTAATAAAGAACTAAATGGCCAATAGCAAGGCAGGAGAAAGGATAGACAGGGTTTGAGGGCAGAGAAAATAAATAGAGGAGAAATCTAGGGAAGGGGTCGAGGAGCAAGAAAAGGAGGAGAGAAGGATGCCGGGGACCAGCCACCCAGCAACATAGCCAGCCACAAAGTAAGACGGAAAGAAAGATATATAGAATAGAGGAAGATAAAAGCCCAGAGGCAAAAGGTAGATGGGACAATTTAAGAAAAGCTGGCTAGAAATAAGCTAAGCTAAGGCTCGGCATTCATAAGAATAAGTCTCCAAGTATTTACTTGGAATCTGGATGGCAGGCCCCCAAAGAGCAAAGAGTAAGAGTAAAAAAACCAACCACATGCACTTTTATCTCAGCAATGGGAACACAGGTTATTTTAAACAAAGTGTTTGGTTATTTTTACTTCTGTATATTTCAAAGACTTTGTTTACACTGTGGCCAGAAGGAAAGGGAACAATACAGGAATCCTCCTCCAGAGTTGCTGCTCCCTGAAGGACCACAATGAGAGGATGGCGTCCACAAAAGAGCTCAATGTCCTTTCTATCATCAAGAGTTTGAAGTCCAGAAAAGGAAAACTATCTGTTAATAGTTGATTTTTGTCTTTCACAAAAAGTTACAAATGGGTAGTGATTTGTGACTGTGGGTACTTACTATTCATTTGTTCAAACAACGAAGACAGCTTCCTCCTGTATTACGGATTGCCAGCAGGTGCCCATTGCTTCGTATGATAATCATATTACAATGATAAAGGCATATTTGCACTAATGCTTCATGTGTATATAAAGGGTCACTATCAGTAGCTATGAGACTTATGGGAAGATCCACTTTCCATTCATTCACTGATAAAAACAGAATTCACAGACATTACCTGTGAAGACCGGGCAGTAGCTCTAAGATAGTTCTTCTTCCAAATTTAATCTTTGTAGAAGAATCTGGGGAGATGGCTCAGTTGGTTAAGTGTTTGTTGTGCAAGCATGAGGACCTGAGCTCGAGCCTCAGAACCCAGATGGGGGAAAAGTCTGTTATGACTAATAAAGCAATGTGTGATTCTAATGTAACCATGTAAAGTAATTCATAAGAAATTTCTCTGAATAAACTAAACATCTCTTCAAGAAAATGGTGTTGGATACAATTTATATAGTGTGTAAATAAACTGTGGTAAGATAGAGAGACATAACTACAGGCCAACGTAAAACCCTCTGACAATGCAAATAATTTATGATGAAAAGATAAGAGACTGTTAATATTAAAAATATATACAAAGTTCTGGGGCGAAATGAAGCAAAATGTCAATGCAATTTATTTTCTAGACAGTGAAATTACAGGGAACTTTTACATACATACAGGTTTTATATTCTCCCATTTTATATGGCAGTCATACATTGCTTTAATTAGTCACATCTGGCTTTTTCCCTCAGGTCCTCATGTGTGCACATCAGACACTTTACCAGCTGATCCATTCCCCTAGCCCCAGGGCCCAAATCTTATGTGAGTCAATCTGCAGTGGATGCTGCAGACCTCCCAAAGTCACTACTGCATTGACACTGAAATTTTTATTTATTTTATTTTTACATGTATGGGAGTCTTGCCTGTATGTATGTCTGTGTACCACATGTGTGTAGTGTCTGAGAGGCCAGAAGGCATCAAATACCCTGGAACTGCAGTTAATGGATAATGTGAGTCACCACATGGTTGCTGGGAATGAAACCTGGGTCCTCTGGAAGAGCAGCCAGTGCTCTTGGCTGCTGAGCCATCTCTCCAGCCTTGCACTGCCATTTACTATTAGAGATCTCTTGTTCACTTAACATATTAAAATATAGAATTGAAGAAGTTGATCTCACAGAAGTTTAGAATGAAATGGTGGTTGTTACAGGCAGTAAGTGTGGGAGTTAGGAGGTTTGAGGAAAAGTCCAAAAATAGGAACTAAACTATAGACAGATAGGAACAAGAAGCAAAATCACAGGTGACCTATCACGGACTATATATTTCAGTAATGAATAGTGGGAAGGAAGGATTTTGAACACTTTTTCCAAGAAGAAATGTTAACATCCAAGAGACAGATATTCAAAACTCCAGGTAAACAGCACAAAATGCAAGTGTGTGGGGACATGATATGTGGTCTTACCAATGTGTACAGTTTTTGCACTTTTAAGAATCAGTTCTTTCTTGTTTTAATTAGGATTTCAGGAAATTTTTATGTTGGTATTTGAAGCTCAGGATTTCAAGAACATGTTGTCACCATCTGGGGGTGAGAGTCTAGACAGATGACATGAATATGTTTCAGACGGTTCAGATTCTGTACGCATCAGCTCACCCCAGCACCAGTTAAGGCTTCGCTGATTTATCCCTCCAGCTAAGACATTCATCAGTCTTCCTTCCCTCACGGCACTAGTGGCTTCTAGTGAACCCGCTTGACTTAGGAGGACATTCAAGACACAGAGAGGACACACTGCTTCCCCTAGCTGAAGCAGAAATCCAGAGAGCAGCAGCTGTGGACACTCCAGAGTGTGCAACCATGGAGGATGAGGAAAATATTTAACAAGAAAGTGTGGACAGAGAAGAAACACAGTGGCCACAATGGAAGACCACCTGGGGTTTAACCACACTCACACTCAATGCCTTGCTGCTTGAGACTGTAAATGAGGCCATGAGTTAAAGCCTTTGTAAGTTGTTTCCTGGTTTTCCAAATATCATCTTTCAACAAAGTAAGATCATCCAAATGGAGAAAGCCAAGCCCTATCTTGTTTATTCTCCCACTGATTTATCATCCTAATATTGTGACTTAAAGTCTTAGCTTCTGCTTTTGTGGACAATAGACAGATACATGCCAGCCTTGATGGCTTTTCCACATTGTTGGTTAAAGTATAAAGATATTTTGCACTGCATTGCTCATTGTCTATTATCGCTCTCTTGTTTGTTTGTTTGTTTGTCAAGACAGGGTATTTGTGTAGCCTTGGCCAATCTGGAATTAGCTCTGTAGACCAGGCTGGCCTCAAACTCAGAGATCTGCCTTCCTCTGCCTCCTGAGTTCTGGGATTAAAGGCATGGACCACTACTGCCCAGCTATTGTCTGAATCTCAATTTGATAATTATAGTACATTCCAGGGAGACCCTGTTTTCACAGGGAAGTGTGCCTCCTCTCTGCTCTCAGGCTTGGCTGCCAGGAGGTTTCATTTCTGTCCTTACTGCTCCACATTTCTCTTCTCACAGGCTTTACTTACCCCTCTTTGCATGTGTAAGTAACCATGTTCCCAAAAGTGAAGTTACTCCCAGTGATGACAGCATCTTTGAGGACTGGCGGCTCTCCGCAGGAGACAAGGTGACAGGTAGGTGGCGCTCTGTCCCAGCTGCCCGAAGCTGTGCATTCAATGAGGGATGGGCCCTGCAAGCTACAGATAGGCACAGGTAATTCCTTTGACGGGGTGATTGTTTACTGCTGTGGAGAAATGGAACTTAGAAGAAAACACAGGCTGCATGATAAGTTTTAGTGCACAAAATAATGTGTCTTCACATTTTATTGCTTTATATGAGCAGAAGAGAAATTTATATTGCTCAGACCATTTAAAATTATGAATGGGTAAAGAAAAATAACAACCACCTGGTGCAAAATTCAAGTCTGGCGTGCCTATTGGTAGAAGAGAAACTCCAGGACTTCTGACTGGCAGATAACCGTGATGAGAAGAGTTAATAGACTAATTATTATCCACTCACTGGAAGGTGGACACCTGCACAGAAGGTGATCAGAGCTAGTAAGGTCAAAGGGCACTGTTCTTCCAGGGCCCGGCATTTGGGCTTTGTAGCTCATGACTCTGACCCCTGATTGTTATTTGACTTCACAAATCCTGCCTCTCACGTCATGGCTTACCCACCTGTGCCTCCAGCAAGGCTTCTGGCAGCCTTGATTATTTCTTTTCAAAAATTTAAAAAGGTCGATTTGTTTATTTGTTGGATGTGTGAGTGTGTGGCAGTCAGAGGACAACTTGAAGGAGTCAGTTCTTACTTCCCATCATGTGGGTCCCGGGAGTGGAACTCATATCCTTTGAGCCACCTCACTGGCCCTTAATTCTTTATTTCCTATCAACTTAATCTGTTCACTTCAGAACCTGTTGAATGTCTTTCTAGGTATAGCCTGACTTTCTCCATTGTTTCTTCTGTTTGAGCATGCATGTGCGCGCACACACACACACACACACACACACACACACACACACACACACACACACACGTCAATCAACTGAACTTCTTACAGATTTAAGACCCTTCCATGCTTTCCTTACACTATGCCACTACTGCTCAATATAATCTTCATAAGGTGTGTATATAAAAAAAGATTCATGGAAAGGCATTTCCTAAGGGATGATGCTGCACTCCACAACCAACTTGGCTTTCCTCTTTAGAGTCTGGATGCTCCAGCAGTTGAGCTGTGAGGGCTCCTGGAGTCACAGACTGACCCTGACATTTACTGTTAGTCAGGCTCCAAGAAGAATGCAAATTTGAGAATACCCCTACATTTATACATTTGCTTTGAAAGTCAACTAGTTCATCCATTCAAGCCTAGGAACAGCAGAAGACGGTAGGAAGCCAGGCTGGTGGACCACACTTTACCTGTAGCCATTCTCACAGGAATATGAAGCAATAGAAAGGTAGGTGAGCCCACTTAGGATGTATTTCCCATTGTTTATGCTCTCAGGACTGGAACATTTCACCAGCTGACACACAGGAGAGGAATGACTCCATGAGCCACTAGCGAGACAGGTTGACTCCTCATCTCCAGCCAAAGTATATCCTTTATCACACCTGGAGAAGACAGAGGACATCACTGAACATGAATAGCTCTGTTTTACACACTTGAAAATTGTGTGAGTGTATAACGTGTGTGTGTGTGTGTGTGTGTGTGTGTGTGTGTGTGTGTGTGTGTGCATGAGTGTAGCCATGCACATGCCATGTTATGCATGGGGAGGTTGAAGGATAACCTCCGGCATCCATCCTTGCCTTCCGTCTTGTTTGAGAGAGGGTCCCTCTGCTCTTTGCTCCTACATACCTGAGATGAGCAGGCATGGGAGTTCTGGGGGTTTTCCTGTCTCTGCCCCTCACCTCTCTGTAGGGCATGAGGATTACAGATGTGTGTCACTGCATTCAGTTCTACCTAAGCTCTGGGGATTCAATCTCAGGTCCTCTATCTCCCCAGCCCTAATTTGCATTATTTTATATATACCCAAACCCTTAAAAATACAAAGAATTTATGTATTGGAGGAGTTTTTCCACATTGGAATGATTTAAAATTGTTTTTCCACAAGGCTGAATGTCATACATCTTTCCACAGTAACCTTCGGTAATACGCAAAGGGCAGATTGAGAATTTGGCTTATCTCCAATATGTGCTATGGATGAATAGCTGGGAATAGACAATTCTGTGTTTGAGAGTAATGCAGGCTAAGCCCCTAGTCTATAAGGCTTGAACTCCCAGAGAGCTAATAATTAAGGTTATCCATCAGTTAGGAGTGCCTTCCACCATGGTGCCTCATGGGGGCGCTAGTGGAAAAAACAAGCCAGATTTAAGGATATGACTACCAATAGGTTATCAGATTTGATTTCTTTACACTATACTGAGCCCAATTAATTCTATATTAATTATAATAATAAAACCCTCCAGGGAAGCTCAGCAGTTAAGAGAATACACTGCTTTTACAGAGGACCAGAGTTTGGTTCCCAGTATCTCCATCAGCAGCTCATAACCTCCTGTAACCTCCAGGAGATCTGGTCCCATTTCTGGCCTCCATGGGAAACTGCACACATACTCACACAGACACACAGACATACAAATAAACAAAACTAAAAGCTAAACACAAATCTTTATATAAAAAACCCTCTGGGATTATTATCATTTCCCTAGTATTCCACTACCGCTGACATGGCATTAACAATTGCATTATGTTTTTTGTTTGTTTGCTTTTTGTTTTTGTTTTTCTCTGTGTAACAGCCCTGGATATCTTAAACTTGCTTTGTAGACCAGGCTGGTCTCAAACTCATAGAGATCTGCCTGCCTCTGCCTCCAGAGTGCTGGTATTAAAGGAGTGAGCCAATGTGCCCGGCCTTGTACTACACCTTTAAAGTTAGGCACTCACCTGTACGTCACCTTACTGCCATACGTGAACACTGACCCATCTACACCACCATTTTCAGGAGCAGGTGGGGCACCACAGGAAACGGCTGGAAGGAGGGATACAAAAAGTGAGGTTTTCTGAGACTCCAGTAAAAGCCCTCTGAGAGCTCATAGCTTTCAGATTTTATCCCCTTGTCATGTTTAAACTTGAGCCCGATACCTGACTTTCAGAACAAAGACTGACATACCTAGAACTTGCCATGACAATCATTTATCTTTCTAGAACTGCCCAACACAATAATCCCAGCCATTTCCTCAGTGTACCTTCACAGGCTGGTCTGATGTGATCCCATTCTCCAGTCTCCAAGCAGGTGACTTTGCTCACTCCCAGCAGCTGGTATCCTTCCTCACAGGAAAATGTGACTTCGGCTCCCACTGTGTAAGTCTCACCAGATGAGTGGCCATTTTCTGGATTTTCTGGAGCTTTACATTTTACAGGCTCTTGAAAGAAAGTTTGTGTGGACTATTAAGTGGCGCTCACACAACCATACAAAGTCTCAAAGCAAAAGAATTCTACAACAGTTATGCAATTCTGAACATGGGGCAAAGGCTATTGAAGGGGGAGGCATAAAAGTCATGGACTTGCAGGGCATTAGCCAGAAAATACACTCAATAGCACTTAAAGAATACTTTATTTTTAAAGTTAGCTTTATTGTCTTCAAATGATTTGTTTTATTAGTCTAAATTATGTGTATGTGTCTGTCTGCGTCTGTGTGGTGGTAGGCACACATGAGTGCTGGTGCCCATGAAGACCAGGGCTGTCGGATCCCCTTGGAGTTGGGTTTATAGGTAGTTGTGAGTTGCCCAGTGTGGGTCCTGGGAATCAAACTCAGGTCCTCTTCAAGAGGGAGTCAAACTCAGGTCCTGATCCTGCACGTGTGTGTGTGTGTGTGTGTGTGTGTGTGTGTGTGTGTGTGTGTGTGTGTGTGTGTGTGCAGGTGCCCATGGTGACCAGAAGAGGGTGCCAGATTCTTTGGAGCTGGGCTATAGGCATTTGTGAGCTGCCCAGGGTAGGTGCTGGGATCTGAATTCAGGTCCTGTGGTAGAGCAATGCATACTTTTAACTAACTGCTGAGCTTTCTCGTTAGCTTCTAAATAATTGTATTTTGAAACTGAAACAAATACTGAAACAATGAAAATTTTATGTGGCCTTGAAGGTAGTTATCTAATGGGACATAGTGATGCTGTGAGCATGTCTCTCTGAAGGAAGTTATCTAATGGGAAGTAATGATGCCATGTGCACATGTCTTCAAAATCTTTCCCCTTCTCACCTCATCCCGACCCCAGACACAGTTAAAAACAGCAATCAACTTGATTTCAAGCTGGTATAAAGATTGCATAATCTTGATTGCTACCAAGGCTGATGACCTGAGTTCGATCCCTACAACCCACATGGTAGAAGGAAAGCATTGATTCTTTCAAATTGTCCTTTGACCTTCTCTCAAGATTCATAAAAAAGTGGGGGGTAGGCTGTGTTGATTTAATCTTTTTCAAGATCATCCAGGCTATGGAAATCAAAGATTTTGTTTATTTATTTTCTTAGCCCTAGAGACCTAGCATCGAGTATGCTTGGCAATTGCTCTAGTATTTAACTCTACCCTCAGCCCTTTAAGGTTTTCAAGGAAATAATCTCAGGAAGTAATTGTAATTTTAGGATTGAATTTTGGAAAAATGCCATAAGTGAGCAGAAAAAAATGAGGTCCAAATACTTGATATTTTCTGTAGCAGATATTATCTAATGTTAAACACAGAGAAAAGTTACTTATGGGAAATTTGTAAGGTGGCTTATAAAACAGAAATTAAAGTTATGTTCTCAAACTCTGTGGTGACATGAAATGACAATAAGTGATCCTGTTTCCAATCAGGCATAAGATGTATCTTGAACTTGTTCCCTGGTTCCTGTGTTAATTCATTTTAAGGGTCACATTCTGTATTTTCAGGATTACCTTTCTTTCTCGTTGAATGGTAATTTTTTTTACAGTGTTCTTATGCTTTATTCCCTTTAAGACTGACTTTTTTTTAAAAGAGAGGAAATGCATCTAAGTAGGATAATGTTCTGGGACATTTTTGCATCTTGCTCTCAAACGGTACAGGGATAACACTCAGATCTTTTCAGCCTGAGAATAATGTGATGGAGATGTCGACATTCAACGTTCTCTGTAGCCAAAAAATTATCTGTGTATAACCCTAGTTTACATTTCTATTTCCATTGTGTGACTCTTCAGCACTTTGTTTTTACTGTTGCTGCTATTGTTTCATACTTACTGTCTTCTGCTTCCCCTCCTGAAGAGATCGTTCTGCAGTCTGTAAGGCTAAGGTTTCTTTATTCAGATAAATACCAGCCAAGCACAAGCCAAAGCGTGCCAGGGGCAGCAAGGCAGCCAGGCCAGAGAGAAGAGAAGGGAGAAGGGGCTCTCCGCGTGTGCCCTGTCCCTTAAGGATCCTCCCCGAGTCACCTTTAGACCTCCCGGCCCATGCCCTTAAGGGCATGTCCCAGCACACCTGTCTGGGCTACTAGGAGGCGGGGCTACAGTGTCTCCCTACACCCTTCTTCCTCCTTTCCCTCCCACCCCTGAAACAGGATCCCTACATCATCTAACACTTTTATCTTTTCTGTCTGTTTTAAATTATATCATTTTACTTTGGTGGTCCACAGCCAGTTTCTATCTCACTGTTTTCTGGCAGTTGCACTTATAAGGAAATTAGGAAGAATTTAGTGAGTTGAGCAGTCGGCCAGCATTACCAAAGCTAACAGAGGAGGAGGATGTCCTGAGGGAAGATTTCAGTTTCCTTCAAAGACATAACTGTGTGTGTCTGAGGCCGAGGAAAGAGGTTGCTGGTGAAGTCATGAAAAGCATCTTCCATGCTCTTTTTGTGGTCATGAGGCCAAGAGATATTTCTGAATATACTGCTCCTCTTCTACTATGTAGCTTCCTTTAACATCTGACAACATTGGCTCAATTTTGTGTTCCAGAAACTGGGAAGTCAGTGGAAGTTCAATGCTAATTAATTGTATCTTTAATGGTTACTATATGTCCTTGATAAGGATGTTATGTTCCTCACCTGTCCCTTTGTCCTTTTAACCTGAAACTCCTGTCTTATTTTGAAATAACATACCCCTAAAATGCATACTTGAATTAAGCAACTGAGATAATAACTTCAATACCTGCACAATTTTTACCATCTCCCATGTATGGTGGGTTGCACGAGCATACGTAGGATCCATTGGTGTTCAGGCAGGAAGCATGTTCATTACAGTCTGATCCAACTGCACACTCATCAACATCTGAAATGAAGACAGTTTACCAACAGTTCAGCGGGTTTGTTGTTCTTTTGTGCCAAACATTTGATTTTGCCTTTAGGTCAATACTCTTTATTTAACACATAGCACTGCATGCATTTTTAAATCTTATTTATTTATATTTTATGTGTAAGTGTTCCTCATGTATACCTGCATGCCAGAAGAGGACATCAGATCCTATTATAGATGGTTGTGAGCTACCATGTGGTTCCTGGGAATTGAACTCAGGACCTCTGGAGGAGTAGTCAATGCTCTTAACCCCTGAGCCATCTCTCCAGCCCTGCTGTATGTATTTTTTTAATGAAATTTAAATGCAACTATGGTGATTACACTACAAATGAACAATAGAATCTACTGCCTCCTCAGTTGATAGGTAGGCGAGCAGAAGAACAGGGATGGAGAATTTTATTAATAATGAACTTGATTAAAATGAGGAACCTTTTTGGCTCCTTGAGGAAGAAACAGCTGCTTTGCCATTACCTGTTGCTCAGGGCTTACAGGGATGGGGTGGAGTTAGCAAGGGGATGCCAGGAGAACTGTGGCATTTATGGTAAATATTTTCCAAAGAACGTTACCTGAATCCACATAGCAGTTGCCAGCATTTATCTCACCTAGACATGATGGTGAAATGCCATTCCAGCTCCCGTTGTCTGTGCAGAACATTCGGGAATCACCCAACAAGTAGTAACCATTGTTGCACTGATAGGTTACAGTGCTGCCAGCATGGAAGTCCTCAGCTGAATAGAAGCCATTCTCCAAGGCAGGAGGCAGCCCACAGCGAATACCTGGATGGAGCAGAGAAACACACTGCAGTGGGAGCAATGTCCTTTAAGGACATCTTGTATGCATGAACCTAGCTTCATGGAGCTGCCTCAGGCATGGGTTTTTTCCTATTGTATACAAGCATTGACTAGAGAGCACTCTACATTGCTGGAACCACACATGTGCTCCCAGCATGTGGCACATTGTCTGGTTCACATCAGGCATACAACTCACTCACTCACTCACTCAGTCACTCACTCACTCAGTCACTCACTCAGTCACTCACTCAGTCAGTCACGTCAGTCACTCACTCAGTCAGTCACTCACTCACTCAGTCACTCACTCACTCACCCAGTCACTCACTCACCCAGTCACTCACTCACTCAGTCACTCACTCAGTCACTCACTCAGTCACTCACTCACTCAGTCACTCACTCAGTCACTCACTCAGTCACTCAGTCACTCAGTCACTCAGTCACTCACTCAGTCAGTCACTCACTCAGTCACTCACTCAGTCACTCACTCAGTCACTCACTCACTCAGTCAGTCACTCAGTCAGTCACTCACTCAGTCACTCACTCAGTCACTCACTCAGTCACTCACTCAGTCACTCAGTCACTCACTCACTCACTCACTCAGTCACTCACTCACTCACTCAGTCACTCAGTCACTCACTCAGTCACTCACTCAGTCACTCACTCAGTCAGTCACTCACTCACTCAAAAACACCTGTGGCACTCTTACTAGCCATCAGGCACTGTCCTAGGTGCTTGACTTACAACAGTGAAACAGATGGAATTCCTGCTTTGTGGCACTTCCTGTCCAGTGAAGTGGACAGAAAAGAAGATAAAGGCATGTTGTGTGTGGTGACAGCTGCTTCCTTAATTTTCTGGCCTTTATCATTATTATTCATTATAAATAAACACTACGATATGCACTTGTTTATTTTTTCTGCCATAATGTAAACACAAGAATAGGAGCCAGCAGCTGCAGAACATATATCAGTGTCAGTATTTTAAAAATCGTTACATCAGTGAATGAGTGGACATGCTCAGCTCAAGATAGCTGTTCCTTTTTCTTGTCCAGCAATGGCACACCTCAGGGTGGCTCTCCAGCCTATAGGTCCCTATTTCACTCATCTCTAGGTCCTTGCTACCACCTTGGATGCATTTGTCAGGGCGGTCTTTGCATCCTCATCATTCACCTCCCACATGGCACCTGGCCCAGTCTCTTACACAGGGCAAGGACTTGATGGATGTTTGCTGTGTTTGGGACAGGAGATAATGAGCATTTATCTAGCATTCTCCAGAGCCACCCAAGTGAGTTGAACAAAGGCTGCTCACGTTCACAGTGAGGGAGTGGTTGTGTCCACTGCCCTTGGTTCAAACAATACTGTACAGGATTCCCGACTATCTGGAAGCCTGGGTCACAGAACAGACTGACTTTGGAGCCCGGCTTTCGATCTCCTGATGCAGTTCTCAGGTGTGGTACAGCTCCTTCTAAAGATGGGCAATCTGGGGGCAGAGAGCACAGGTAAGAGCATGTCAACAACACAGCAGCAGAGCCACCGAGCCAAGGGGCTCAATCTCTCTTTTGTGCCAGCAGGAAAACAGCTTGACTGAATTAAAGCAAATTTTCAAGTACCCCGTCACTGACAAACAATGATAAGAAAAAGATTTTGTTTGCATCATCAAGTAATTTTCCTCCTATCAACAGAAATCTGCTGGGTATTTTTAAAGGAGCAAATGGCATTTGGGGGATAGTAATGACCATTCTTGTAAATTACCTAAAGTCATGAATTCAACAATACTTAAAAAAATTCATTTAAATGCATTAATTTTTGGAAATTAGTTTGGGTTATCCAGAGTGAATGTTCAGGGCGTGTATGGGAACAGCCATTGGTTTTATGTTTCACAAAAGTATTCTCATCTCAAATAGGAGCCTAGAAATTTGGTGATTATTAAAAAAAACAAAACAAAACAAAACAAAACAAAAAAAAACAAAAAAAACCAAACAGGACTGGAGAGATGGCTTGGTGGTTAAGAGCACTGGCTACTCTGTAGAGATGCCAGGTTCAGTTCCCAGGACCCAAACTGAAGACAACTGTCCTTAACTCCAGATCCAGGAGATCCAGTGCCCTTATCTGGCCTCCAGGGGCTCCAGGCCCTGATGCGGAGCATAGACTACATGCAGGAAACACATACATATGAAAATAAAATTTGAAAGTCTAGAAACAAATAAAAGCCAACACGAATTCAGAGCCTCCCACTCATCTTTTTAATCTTATTTTATCTTCATCCAAATATCCTACCCAATTACTTTGTACTCCACTGTACATAAATAATTTCAATACTCAAAACACCCTTTGGATGGACACCAAGCAGACGTAAATCCTAGTTAAGGAGCAAATTGATCTGTGCCATGATTCGGCCACAAGAGAATTTTGAATTATGTGCAAAGTTGGTGTAAGAGAGAAGTCCTCACCAGAACAGAATATGCTTCTGGAATCAACCTTCACCTTCCCTGTGATTCCCGACAGGAAATCAGGCCAGGCTAACACATTTCCCCGACTGAGCTCCCCTGGGCAGGAGCTGGCCAGCGAATTCACCTGCGAGTTTAAAACACACTTTTAGATAAAACTTCTACTAAAATGGAGCTTGACATCACACATAACCCTGGTGAAACAGCCACAGATTGTTGTGGCAGAGGTGAAGGGGAGCATGTTTTTGTATGGCATGATTGTAAAGGCAACAGGGAATTTTCTTCTTTTCTCCAATCCCCATGATTAGGTCTCCCTATTATTTCTCCCACTTAAAAGACTCATGGTTGCCTGAAATTTTGAAATCCTTTGCATAGAGTTTCTTGCCTAGATATTAATGTTGGTTAAGTCATATTTTTTCAGAAGAAATTTTATTTATGCGCATACATTCACGGTGTGTGTGTGTGTGTGTGTGTGTGTGTGTGTGTGTGTGTAGGTGTAGGTGCTCGAAGTCACCAGAAGAGGCATCATATCCTCTGTAGCTGGAATTATAGGAAGTTGTGAGCTGCCTAAAATGGGTTCTAGGAATTGAACTTGGGTCCTTTGCAAGAGCAACAAGTGTTCTAAAACACTGAGCTATCTCGCCAGCCATCTATCAGTATGATTTTGAGAGTGAATATTTATCAAGCCATTGCCACAGTGCAAACAATCCCACAAATGTGTGGTGACCTTTTGTCAATCTTGCCAGAACTCTCTTGGATAGATTCTCTCTCTCCTTTATAGTTAAGAAAAACGAAGTGTAAAGTGGAACAACATGATTGAAACCATCCCAGAAAGACTGTGGCTGGACTGTGGTTGGATCTCAGGCTGTTGGACTCAAGCCTAGCTTGAAGTACAGATCTATCTCTTGCCATCTGTGGATGTTCTTACAACTATTCTAAGCATAGTCTCTATGTTCTTTCCATCTAAAAACTAATATATTTTTACAAAATACCCATTCCCAATTAAATATCAGAATATCACTGAGAAACTAAAAGGGTCATCAATGGAAATCACTATAGATAACATCTGCCTAACAGAGCAAGCTCTCCAATATCAGTGATAAATCCTGCTAATTAGTAGTTTACAATACGATATGTCATCATTAGACTGTTCGTGGTTTTACTAGGTTTATACCTTTGTATCTCATTACTGTCATACACTGAAAATGGAATTGACCTGCTGTGGAGACAGGACATAGTCCCAGAGGTTGAGCTGGCTTATGGAGCCCACAAAAGACTCAGCTGGGTTGAATCCCTCTCCTTTTTTGTCTTGCTCTTGCCCAAGAACTAATGCGCCACCACCTAGAGAGAGAAAGAGAGGGAGGGGCAGCATGAGAATAAAGAAGAAGAAAATTGGGCTAATGGTTTGTTATTTCCCAAATGCTAATGTAATGAAAGTCTAGCTAATACAAATAAATGAAAGTGTCATTCAAAGCTAAGCTATGTAACTTTATTGCATGGCTTAGCAACAAGGGCAGATTGAAATTAAGTTTATGTGACAGTCAAAGGTGGTTGTAGTGTGAGCCCATCAGGCTCTAATGGATAGTACACATGGCTCCCTGCCTTTGATCTCAAAGTTTCTTACAACTTGCAAGTAAGAGGTCAATTGCAGATACCTTTTTGTAGTGATATATTATTTATGATTTATTAAAGATTCTCTGAAGATTCAGAAAATCCAAGTCAGCCTCAAGCTATACAGATCAGGAAGTGGTGACACACACTTTTAATCCCAGCAGCCAGAAGCTAGGAAATGGTGGTACACACCTTTAATTTTTGTACTCAAAAGATGGATCTCTCTGATTTCAAGGCCCCCCAGGAATACATGAGATTGTATCAGTCAAAAGAGTAACAGATCACATGCCTTTAATCCCAGCAATAGATGGGTATAAAAGATAGAAGCAGGATCTTCAGTATTCAGTAGGAGGTATCTGTTCTCCAGCCACTATGAGGAGAGGCAGCAGTCTGAGACTGGGTGAAGAGCTCTCGGGTGGATCAGCCCTTTTAGACTGAGCTAGAAATGAGAAATAGTGGCCAGCTGCTCTGCTTCCCAGATCTTCAACTTGAACTCCCAAATCTGTCTCTGGGTCATTTATTTATTAGTGTTACACTTTTTTGATTAAGAGTAGGAGCTGGTGTTCACTTCCTTCTCTCAGTCCTGGGATTCCATCTGGCTTGAACCTATGCACAATTGTGCATACTGCCTCAGTATCTGTGAGTTCATTTGTGCATCAATTCTTTTTTTCTCTAGAAGACACTGTTTCTTTGGAGTCATCTATATACTTTGATTCTTATATTTCTACCTTCTCTTCCACCTAGCCCCTTGAGTCATAAGGAGAAGGTATTACTGAGGATACACCATTTAGGACGGAATGTTACAAGGTCTCTCATTCTCTGCACAATGTCCAGTTGTGCCTTTCTGTGTTACTTCCCACCTACTGTGATAGGAAGCATCTCTGATGATGTCTCAGTGAGGCACTCATCTATGGGTATAGCAAAATGTGGTTGGGAGTCCTTTAATTGCTATGTTACTTTAGCAGAACAGCAGTATGTGACCTATCAACTCTATAATATATAAAAACACAAGAATAAAACAAATGTCTTAAAAAAACAAAAAAACACAAAACAATCAACAAAAATATTTCTTACATCTTGAATGCTTTTACCCTCCCTCTTGTCGAGCCAACTCTGTCTCAGCCTTTAATGCAGGCTCAGTGAATGTGGCAGAATACACCTCCTAATGATGTGCTGCTTACAGTATCAGGATTAGAAACTCACAGGTGTAAAAGCAGAAAGCCTTTCTGCCTGTGAGATTGCAATTCTAAGAGAAAGCACATACAATACTTTTCAGTATAGGGTGGTGAGTAAAAACATGGACGTATGAAGGATGGAAGAACTGTTGGGGGTCGGGGAGGAGAGAAAGGGGAAGAGGGAGAGAAGTGATTATGAAGACATGCTTGACTAAGTTAGTTTTATGCAGATGAAAGACACAGTTTTAGGGCAAAAGAGTGAAATGCCAGAAGGAATACAAGTATATGGTGTGTTTACACTCACACACACACACACACACACACACACACACACACACAAACACACACACACACACACACACCCTGTTGTCATTCTGACAACGCCTGGGATGACTACCCCACCTTAAAGGCCATCAGTGACATTCCATTGACTTTAGGATGAAAACCTGAATTGTACACCTTTCCTACAAGACTGTGTGTGATTGGTCATGACCCCTTTCTACAGACTCATGTAGTGCTTAGTGCATTCACTTGTTCCATCTGCATTCCAGATACTTCCATTGGTCCTTGTTTAATTCTTTCAACAAAGTCTTTCAACAAATTCTCTTCATTGGCTAATGTTTGGCTAGCCTTAGAACTCAGAAAGACATTTTCCTAGCCTTCATTAACATTTACTCTACACAGTTCCTTGGCTGTGGGCTGTCATGGAACTGTGTCCCATTCCTCTCTAGTGACTACCTCAGCTTGAACTGCATGATATTATCACTATTATCTGCCACCAATTTAAAACCTTTTGGAAGGCGGAGATCACATGGTTTTTGCTCACCATTAGATGTCCACTACCTTTCATGAGTGTCGAACTTACTTAGGGAGTGGGTTCTCAGTATATATTTTCTGTAGTAACAAATACATGGATTTTAATGTTATTTTATAATCTCTTAGCATTATAAAGTAAAACAAAGAGACATAGTTTCTAAAACATAAATTAAATACCTGTTTTTTGGCTCTGCAAAATGATCTCATCACATTTTAATGAGGGTTGATATTTAGTTATATAACTATTAGTATGTTTAACTTGGTTTACTATAACTTGCTTATAGAAGATAATTGCTCATTTTAAATATTTTAAGTTATTTTAGTTGAATTTTATTTTACCTGAGCACTGTTTTTAAGTATTGGAAACAAGAGGAAAGTGAAGGATGACGACGTCTACATAACTTCCATGGCTGTGTCTACACAGGTCAAATTTCTTGCCTTGTAAGTCTTTGGCAATTTTCAAACTAAAGCTCCCTGAATAGTTAAAGTGACTTCAGAGGAAAGGGTGAGTTCTATATGAGAAAGGACACAAAAGCTGGAAAATATGCCCAGTGGCTCAGCTTATAGACACGGTCCCAAAACAAAACAGAAAGCCCCTAAAAAACAGTAGGCAAGCAAGCAGGGTCCATCAACAGCCAATTGCTTCCTTAGAAGACAGCTTAATAAACACTCAGCCCAGTTTGCCTCTTGGTCAAACCAAGATCTCCAAAGCCACTGCTTACACAGTCATGCAGTTCACCCAGGGAAAAGGGTCTGATAGTTATAGTCTGGATAACTGATGGTCGGTGAGAGAAAGACATAACTGTGGATCTTTGTCTGGATGTAACGACAACAAAGCTGGCCAATGTCATGTCTATGTAAGTTCGGCCACCTCCAAAGTCTCACAAACATGTACTCGTTTTTTTTTTCTAAAACATACCAGGTATGGCTTTGCCGACAGAGAGGCCAGTACCGCTGTCAGATAATTTCCCGTCTATATAGACTCTCCAGACTCCACCAGTACTTGTCCATGTGATTGCAATATGATGCCAAGTGCCATCATTCACAGACGGGCAGTTTGTGATCTTTTCTTTTCCATTCACATAAAGGACCCAGCTGTGGAGAGAAAGATTCCAGAGAATACAGTCAATGGTCACACAATTCTTTCCTTGAGCCATGTTACACTTGTGTGTGTGTGTGTGTGTGTGTGTGTGTGTGTGTGTGTGTGTGTAGTACTCATATATTAGTTATGTCAACCATTCATCTGATAATATTTTAGAAGCAGAAGTTTCTAATATTCTAGCTCAATATAAACACTGGTGAATGAGAAAAGTCTTAGGGTGAGCCCAGATAATTGAAACAATTTAGCATCCTTTGGAAAGTCAAGGGGTTGCTGAAATGTCTGACTGACAGCTTTCCTCTAGAACATACGTTTTCCAAGACCAGAAGCAATCTTCAGATATCCACAGGAAGGAAGTAAATTTCAGGGCTTATACTAGTAACTGGGCATCTGTGCTCCCTCAAAACTTGTTATGTTCAAAGTCCTAACCAACAATCTGGCAGCATAAGAAGAGAGGCCTTTGGGGGCAACTAGGTTACGATGACAGGGCCATCTGAACAAGATTACTGTATTAACAGAAGAGGTCAGAAGAAACCTCTTGCTGCTTCAGCCGTTGTGGGCAGAGAAAGAACATTCCTGTAGGGAATCTGTGAACCATTAAGGGGTTCTTACCAGACCCTGATTCTGCCGCTGCCTGCATCGTGGACTTTCTATATTAAACTGAACAGACTAAGGCAGTTGCCAGGCTGGTCTTACGGAAGCCCAAATATGTCTACCCAAATAAAAGAACCAAAAGACCCCACCACTCAAGGGAGTGGTGTAAAGATAATAAACAGTTTAAAGTGGAAAGTGTCCAAAGGCAAATGGAGACAAAGAAATGATTGTGGAAAGTAGAGGGCAAGATGAAGTCTTCTCAGACACTGGCAACAACACCCACAGGAGAGGAATATTCTTGCAACACTGTTTCCTCTAGATGTTTTTCCCTTTTCCTCTCTCCAACTATAAGTACATTTTACCTCAAGAGTTTGCCAATGCCTTGAGTTATTCTCCCGGAAAATTCAAGTTCACTAAGAAGAATTGTGTTTGATGAGATTTCTACCAAAATAATGGTACTCCTCTAACTTGAGAAGAAAGTCCCAGTAGGTCTCTGGGGCGGGCAACATGCTCAATAGACCAAAGTGATGAGTGAACCTGATAAGAAAGGGCCCCGTGGAACACCATGCAGCCCAACCAGGGGTGGTCTTGCAGCCTCACTGAGGAATCCAAGTGTGGGAAAGAGTAGAAGGTCATCATAGGACCACAGAGTTTAAGCCAGTGAACAGCTCAGCAATACCTAGTGTGGGCAGGCAAGCAATGGTGGGGGCAGTCTAAGTCCATGGCTCCTCAGCAAAACTCTAGATGCAACTGGAATGACATTGCAGAGGGAAGGACTCTGGAGTTAGGTTTAATTAAAGGAATCAAGAATGCCCCCTTGTATCCTGAGACTGTGCGCTGGTTCTTACTCAATACACATGTCTCACACAGACAAGTGTTCTGGATGACCCTTAATCTTTGGATGCCTGCTATGTAAAAATGAGCATCATTCTCTTGAGAGTTAGACCTGATATGACTTGCAGGGGGCAGGGCATGGCAAATAATTTAGGATTTCTGAAATTTTGTTTTGCTGTCTGCAGAAGGGGCAGTATTTCCTCAGGGCACTGGTAAGATAAAAGAAAACAATACCTATGACAACAACCACACTTGGCTTTCCCATAGAGTTTGTTTAGGTGTTCCAGCTGTCTGTTGTCGTTCAAGCCTCCATGCTCCCTCGTTCCCAACCCCAATGTCTGAATGTGAGCCCTAAGCAGAATTCAGTTCTATCTTGGTGTTAGGAGAATCTCTTCCTGGCACATCCACCCTAACACTTCTGCTTACCCATTATAATCAGTCAGGAGGAAGGTGTTGTCATTGTCGCCCTCAAGAGCATAGGAGATGGGTGTCCCGTAGTTGATGACATCAGAGGATTTCATCCAGAAGGCACAGGTTATGGCATGGAGAGATGGAAGCACTCCATCTAGTATGACATACCCATAAATGCCAGAAACTTCAAAATCCAGGTTAAAACCTGAAGGCTGTTCTGCAACAAATAAGGAGAGTTGCAGAATGTGGCATGCCTCTGCACTTTCAGTTGTCTGGGGAAAGCGGTGGGCAAGAAGCACCAAATCCAAAGAAGTTAACTTCATCACACATGAAGATTTGAGAATTGATTTCAAAAGCATCCTTAAGATATATATTTAGCTAGTGAGTATACATAACAATAAGGGAGAACACAGCTGTGCAAGGGAACAGGAAAACAGGGTTGTGGAGGTAGAAAGTCTGAGAGCTGATAAGGCAGTGTGTACGATGCTTGGAAGAACTGTGGAGAGACAGGGGTTGATGTTGCAGAGGAGGGAGAGGCTAACTCAAGGGCAGTATCCGTCCTTACTCAGGGATCTGTCTGTTCCATAGCTGATGAACGATTCAACTCTTCTCCTATTCAGCCCTGCAAAGTCTATTCTATCACAAATGATTTCAGTCTGCTTGGAAGGAAATTAGCGTTGCTCTGTTGACTCTCTGACCTACTTATCTATTAACAAACCAAGTGGCTTTCTAGACACATGCAAGAAATAGAGATGATAATTAAAATTCACAATCTCAGAGATGAGCACTTTGCTTGGCTCGTTCATTTGCTTGAGCTCAACTTTATAACATAGTAAATATGGCTAATAATAGCACATGTACAATTCAAAACTACTGAGAGTACATTTTAAGTATTCTCACAACAAAATGTGTGAAGCAGCTTGGGTAATAGATATGCTGATTAGACTGCTTTAAATATTCATAAATCATAACATGGTCTCATAGTCCAATAAATTTATGTAATTGTAATGTTTCAACTTTCTGTCATGAAAATGCCATTAAAATTAACAAAATAGGGTTTGGGGAAATGACTTAGTGCAATGGTTCTCAATCTGTGGGTCACAGGGGTTGCCTAAGACTACTGGAAAATGCATATCTTTCATTATAATTTCTAATAGCAGCAAAATTATAAAGTAGCAACAAAATAATTTTATGGTTGGGGGTTACCACAACATAAGGAACTGTATTAAAGGGTTACAGCATTAGGAAGGGTGAGAAGCACTGGCTTAGTGAGTAGTGTCAACTCATACAAGCATGAGGACATGATTTCCCAACCCTGGCACCCACATAAAAAGCCAGACATGGTGGCACATCATCTATAATCCCAGTGCTGGGAGGCAGAGATGGGAGGATCCCTAAAACTTTCTGGTCTGCCAATCCAGACAGTGAGTTCTTGGTTCAGTGAGGGACTCTGTCTCAAAAGAAAGTGGAAAGCAGTTGACACTGACTACTCTGCACACACACACACATACACAAACACATACACACACAGCCTCAAGACCACAAAGAAGGAAGAAAATGAGAAAGAAGGTGGAGGAGAAATAATAATTGAGTAGCTGGTGTGTAGCAGAGCCTGGATACATGCAGCAAAACCCCGAAGGTTAAAAGGGAGGTCTGCCTAATTGTTTTCTACATTTCCCTCAAAGATCTCTAAACTTCAGTTTCCTCATGCAAGCTGTTGGTGATAACGACAGCAGTACCTGGTTTATTGATGGCTGTGAAGATGAAATAAGTACTAAGGGCTCAGCAGAGCCTCTTGTATGTGGGCAGCACATAACATAGGCAAAAGCTGACACTTTATAATTATTTAGAGTATTGTTAACAGTCATTCTATGTTCATACACACCTGTCTCACACCTGAGTTCACACATACCTGTCTCACACCTGTGGCCTGAAAATCCTGGCCGACATTTACAACTGTATGAGTTTAGCTCATCCACGCAGGTGGCCTGGTTCCTGCATGGGTTGGACTGACATTCATTGATGTTCAGTTCACAGTGTGGTCCTGTGAAGCCTGCTAGGCATTGACACCTGGAAGGAAATGAAATGCATCAACAGGAACCATAAGAGGATCTTTTAGAGAATCTGTGTCCCCAACTTATGACAACCTTGTCTCGGAAGACTTTAAATACTAAAATGGTAAAACCTGTGGTCAGGGTCTATAGTGGTTTACACACACTGCAACAGCAACAACAACAAACACATCCAGCAATGGCAAATGCTGATCATCATGCTGTGAAATAGGGAATCTAAGATGGAAATTAGAATTACAATCTCACAGTGTCAAGGGTGACTGAGAGCCTGTCCCCCAGAGCCTGTGCATCTACTTTATATCATTTTTCTCTGGAAAATCATTGCACAAGAGCTGAGGATCCTGTGTTCTGTGTTCATGACAGCAATGCTCTAGTGGGGTGGATGGGAAAGCAATCCCTGGTACACTCATGTCATAGATACTAAGCAGCCATTGTGACAAATGAACCACAGCAAATGTATCCACGTGACAATGCTTAAAAACAATGTTGAGTGACAAATGACAAATGCTATTTATGGGGTTTGTCCCACCTACCTAACATCTAAAACCATGCTGTATATTGCTTATAGATGTGATTTAGGAAGTAAAATATAAAACATAAATAAACTCTATGTATCTATATAGAGACTTCAGAATATTGATTGCCAGAAAAAGAATGTGTGTTTATGCAAACTATATCCAATTCCATCTTTAGAAATTATTCCTTTAAAAATTGTCAATCAAATTTGTGAATAAGGCGAATACTAAGATTTGCTAATGGTAGAGCTGAATGCATGTCTTTATTATTCTTTGCAATTTTCTGTGTGACTGAAATACTTTTCTTTGAGGAGGTCATACTATCAACACTATCATATTCACCAGGAGCTGCCTTTGAGGTTGATCTGAAGGTGGCTGGTGTGAGCTCATGGCAATGGAGGGGTTTAAGAGGAACTCCTAGAGAAGAGGCCGTCTTGTCTGGGTTTCTGCACTTTATGTAAATCTGTTTTTGCTAGCACCTCACAAATCCTTGTCTGGAAGGACAACACTGCCAAAGCTCTGTCCACCATGCTCAGTTAATCCACAGGGCTACGTTCGTCTGACTGGAGACAGCATGTCCTCTCCTGTTCTCTGATTCTAGATTAATTATATATTCTTCTGTTGTTTTGAACCTTGGGGTGAGGTCATAGCTCTTAGAGTTCACCTGCAAGTTTCTTACAGCCCATGGTGAAGTGCTCTTTGTTGGAAATGGGAAGCTGCCAGGACAGGATGATGTTTTGGTAACATTAACTTGCCCACTGATAATACATTCACTGGCCTGGTCATTTTCCACACATGTGTTTACCTGGACAGAGCTTTGGCTGTTTGTAGGAGGGTGATAAAAAGGCAGGGGTGGAGCTGGGAGGGGACTATGAAATATAAAGAGTGAATTTGATATTTTCCTTTAAACTTTGTGAGGTGATAGATCTAGCAGCTGCTTTAGGACCATGATATTTCCTAAGTTTGTGAGCAAGAACAGTTTATCCTCTGCTCTGCAGAAACGCTGTCTTCCACTTCTCCCTGCAGGCCAGGAATGCACTGGGACTCTGGAAGATGGCTGGAGGGGCTAGGGCATGCATGGGGATTCCGGAGGATGACTGGAGGGGCTGTTTTTGAAACTGCATTCTACTGACACCCTAAGTGCTCCCTCAGGAAGGCAAGATCTATCCTCCAAGAACTTATAATTCATCCACAAAGGCTCAGCTTTTGTTATTTTATTTATTAAGAGTTCTTTAGATGAAAGATTTCTAAAGTAGATGCCAGAACACTGTGGATTCCAGTGTAGATGGCCCCCAGAGAGTATGATCGTATAGCCTATTTTCATCTCACTTACTGCAAAAATTTCAGCTAAAATGTAAAATGTTTAAGAATAGTGATTTTTGCCTAGTGCTAATCTGTTAATGCTCATGTGCTGGGACTGCACTTCCCCTTCACCATTATTTTGTGCATGTGTGTGTTTCTGTATGTGTGTACACATGTGGTGGTAAGAGGCTGCTGTCAGCTGCCCCCTCTGTCTTTCTCTACCTTATTTTCCAAGACAGGGTCTCTCATTGAACTTGGAGTTCCTCGATCTAGCTGATCTGGTTGGCCAGTGAGCTCCAGAACCTACCCGTCTCTACGGTCTGTCCCTGGGATCACAGATAGGTGCTGCCACACCAAGCTTCATTTACACAGGGATTCAAACTCAAGTCTTCATGCTTTTTTGGGCAAATACTTGACAACCATGCCAGCTCTGCAGTCCCTCCTTCCACCTTTTATGATTTCCCAGAGCCAAAGTTTCTAAATCTGGCATGTATCACTCATAGACTTCAAATACCTTAGGTTGCTTATATTAAAATTATAGGTTTCAGCTTGGAAGTGTAGTTCAGAGGTGCTGGCCTGACTTGTGGGAAGACACAGGTTCCACCTCTAGCACCACAAAACACCAGGCATGCTGGTACCTGCATTTGATTGCAGCAACCAGGTAGATGCAGAAGGATCAGAAGTTCAAAGTCATCTTCAACTACGTAGGGAGTTCCAGGTCAGATGGGCCTACTCAAAAACAACACATAACACACACACACACACACACACACACACACACACACACACCAAACAAGTAACAACAACAGAAACTACAGGCTCATATCTAGGCCTAGCCTTGCAAGTAGTGGTGAAACTCTACTGTGCCTATCTTAGGGTGATCATGTGAGGATAGCTGTCTTGGGACTTTGCAGCTAGTGCTCCACTAAGACTGCTCAATCAAGGAAACATAAAGCGGAACTCTGGACTTGGCCTTTTACCTGAAACTGTTGGCACCATCCTTACATGTGGCTCCATTTTGGCATGGCTGGCTGAGACACTCGTCCACGTTTTTTTCACACCGAGTACCCAAAAATCCAGGTGGGCATTTGCACAAGAACCCCCCAACTTGGTCTTTACAAACTGCATTATTTAAGCAGGGGCTCGACTGGCATTCATTGACATCTATCTCACAGTGCACACCTAGGGTGGGTGAGGATGAGAAAGAGCTGTCGTGATTACCTCCATAGGAAAACTGAGCCCATGGTAACTCCTTGAGTGCACCTAAAGGAGAGAGACTGCAGAGCCACTGCCATTAGCCTGCTCATGATGCCCCTTAGAAGGAGCCCTGGCTTTGTGGAGTCATTTCAGGACTCTGCAATTTTGGTACTCAGTTTATTTTCTTTCTGAAACTATGGTTTCAGTAAGGGGTATTGAGCTGAAATAATGTTTAAAAGGACAATACATTTAGTTCTTTTTTTTCTATTTCTTTGAACTCATGTTTTTCCTTCATTAGCATTTCACCCCAATCAGACTTATTCCCTAGAAATTAAGTACATATTTCTTTAACCATACTGCTTTCATCAGTTTGCAAAATATATTATTTTGCATCAATTTACATTCAATTTACATTTTATGAACATCATTGACATGACTTATCTCCAATAATATGTTCATAAAATCAAATATAATACTTAGATAATATGTTAGGAAACACTAATTTTTATTTACAGAATTTTGAAACAGGGGAGAGAAATGCAAACTTCTTACCAACATATCCTTTCACACAGGTACAGTGGTAGCTTGCCAAGTCATCAGTGCAGGTTCCTTTATTCAAGCAAGGGCTGGAACTACACTCATTTATGTTTTCTTCACATACTTGGCCTGCAAAGAATCACAGAATCTTTGATCTGGAGAAAACATAAGTTTTGTTCAAGCAAATCGTTTATAGTGAAAACTGAGCAATTAGAAATCATGACTAATGAGCCTGTGAAGTTTTTGTTCTTTGCCAAATACACCGACACAAATATTTCTCTCCATTTTTGAATTTCAAAAAATGTTTAGCCAGAAATGTAACATATTTGGCATATGGTGAGAGCTGACACCAATGAACACATGACCATATTTCTAAGAAGGTGTGATCTTGCTTAAAGTTGTCTTCTTTCATCATCTGTTCATTAGTTGTTTATTCTTCTCTGTGTAATCTTTCTGAAGTTAAGCTGTAGCCATACAAAATTGACAAAAAATATTTGACAAAAATACTGAACAAAGAAAATAACTTATTTTGTTCTGAAAGTCCAGAAAACAGTAGCCAGACTTCTGTGCAGCTGTCCCCATGCTCTGTAAATAGGTTCTGAGGACAAGTGATATCATTCACATCCTTTCCTCTGTTACCTAGCAACAGAGACCCAGCCTGTGATATTACCAAGTACAGGACGCTTAAATCCAAGGTGCACATGGAATCATGTAGCAGATATCTAACAGCATATATATCCTACCACAAACTACATTAGAGAGAAATTTTATCAATAAAAAATTTTGAAAGTAGAAATTCTTTTTTTTTTTTTTTTTTTTTTGAGACAGGGGTTCTCTGTGTAGCTTTGGAGCCTATCCTGACACTCACTCTGTAGAACCAGGCTGGCCTCGAACTCAGAGAGATCTGCCTGCCTCAGTATCCTGAGTGCTGGGATTAAAGGTGTACGCTACCAATGCCTGGCAAAAATAGCAATTTTAACAAACCTACATATTCATACAGATCACAATACTCTTCTATTAATTTTCATTATCAACTTGATGTAACCTGGAGTCACCTGGGAAGATGGGACCTCAATTATATTGACCTATAACAAGTTCTGTGAGAGATTGTCATGTATGAAGATTGATGTGTGAGGGCCCAGCCCACCCTGGGCAGCACCATCGATAGGCAAGTGGGTGGGCTATATAAGGAAGCCAGCTGAACATGAGCCAGAGGGAGAGTCAGTAAGCAGAGCTCTCTCTTGTCTCCAAGTTTTTGCTTTGAGTTCCTACTCTGACTTCCTTCATGAAATTGAAATAACAATGAATCCGGTAGTGGCTCCACCTGTTGAACATGTGTCTTCAAACGGGGTAGCAAGTATGAAGATCTTCAGCCTCCTCAGTTAAGTATGAACATGTCTACCTCTTGAAATATTTATATATGTGACATGCCCCTAAAAGAAAACACACTCTTTTCTTGTTGGAGATATACAGGCTTTTATTCTCCATCTGCCTGATTGCCAACTAGAGGGAACTTTGGGATGCTATTCACTGTTTAGAACTTTTATTTATATAAATCTTTGAATACTAATAAACAAATGTGCATGAGGATACAGTATGATATGTATAAAAGAGAACAAGAAAGGCTAAATATTAGGGGATATTTTGTCATGGATTTTTTGTTTTTGTTTTTGTTTTTGATGGCAGATAAGTGAATACAATTCTATTTAATAGTGAAACTGCAAAATCCAGTGTGAAACCCCATGACTTCTGAATCACTATTTAAACTGCACAGAAGTTCTTTGAGACATATAGATTTGGGGTCTTGTTAATTTTGGTGTGTGTGTGTGTGTGTGTGTGCGATTTTTTTCTATTTGCAAGATTTTTTAAATAAAAAAGCTTATAAATAAAAATACCCAGAAATCTTTGAATTGGATTTCCAGACAACATATTATTCTACTGTATAAACTCGGTGTCCCTCCCCAAAAGACTAAGTCTATCATAATGTCATGGATCCCAAGTCAACAAAACAGAGCTAGTTCAAGTGTTGCCACCATAAATTATATTAACATTTTAATTTCATTATGAAATTGGTTTTTTTGGAGATAATGTTTCAGAATCTAGTTATTGTGAAATATGTTATAAAGATTATAAAAGATTTATTAAATACTGAAAATAATATAATGCATAAACCTAAAATACTTATTTAAAATATTTTTTGAATAATAAATTCATGAGTTAGGTACAGATATAACTTCTAGATATATCTCTATTTCTGTCATAATAATACTATGAGATTGCTATTGCTTCTTAGGTAATAAATCATATTCTTGTGAAATATTTAACTATGCGAAGAAGTGTTATATTTGTTTATGCTACAGAATATTACTTTAACTATGTGAAGGTGTGTTACTTTTGTTTATCCTGCATTTGTTTGATGATGTAAGGATATGCTATGTTTGTTTGCTTCATTTGTTTAATTATGTAAAGAAGTGTTGCATTTGTTTTACCTTGCCTGCCTAAGGCACCTGATTGGTCCAATAAAATGCTGAACAGCCAATAGCTAGGCAGGAGAGGGATAAGCAGTACTAGCGGGCAGAGGGAATAAGTAGGAAGAGAAAACTAGGCTCAAGAGAGAATAAGGAAGAAAGAGGGAGAAAGAGAAGAGCATGCTGGAGCCAGAAGCCAGGCAGCTGCCAGCCATCCAGACATGAGAAGCAGTGAAAGTAAGACATACAAAAGGAGAGAAAAGTAAAAATCCCCAAGGCAAAACATAGATAAAGACAACAGATTAAAATAAGAGCTAAGATAAGGCCAAGAATTTGTAATTAGTAAGAAGTCTCCATGTCTTGACTTGGGAGCTGGTTGGAGGCTCAAAAGAAAGCTGGGTGCACATTCTATTTTATAAGACTCTATTATCAGTACTAGAATCATTATAATGAAATTCAACAAGGGAATTGATAGCGAGGTTGATGTTTCTGGACTATTTTAGAGGGAGGATTCTTTTTTTCAGAATTTTTAAATTTTAATTAGAAACAAGATTGTTTTACATGACAATCACAGTTCTCTTGTCCCTCCCATCCTCTCCTACCCCCCCCCCCCAACTAAAACCCTACCTATCACATATCTTTCTGCTTCCCCTGGATGGTGAGGCCTTCCATAGGGTGTCATCAGAGTCTATCGTATTAGAGGAAGTATTCTTAAGGGCTGCAATTCTCTGACTTAAATATAACACATAAATGAACACCTTTAAGTTAGAGAGAGGAGCAGATCCTGTAGCAACAGAAGTAACTGATCTACAGTAACAGTCACACACACATACAATTCCAAATTTCAGTAAGGTGACAGTGAAGAGCTGAGGAAGGACCTGGTACTTGTTTGGTATCCCATGGTAACAAATATGTTTCCTCTCACCTTCTCATCTCCATTTGTGAACATGAAAAACAGGTTCAGAAACACTGGCTGGCTCTAAAGTCACACATCTTGTAGACAAGAGGGAATCAAGTCTGCCCATTTTACCATTTTATAAACCATAAGCAGTTTCATACTGACAAATTGATGCCTTGGTTTTCTTACATAACCATGTAATGAGCACTTTCCAAATGTACACAAATAATCCAAGACAAGACTCTGTTTATGTTGTAAACACACTAGTCTTGCTCCTTACCTGTGTAACCCAATGGGCACTCACAAGTGAATCCCCCGACTTGGTCTCTACAAACTCCACTGTTGAGACAAGGCAGTGAGCTGCATTCATCAATATCTGTTTCACACTTTAAGCCTAAAATGTAAACCAAACACTGAATGATAAATCAAAGTAAGGGAGTAGTAAACATGAGTGATCAGTTGAAGCAATGATCTCCATAATCTAGGCTTTATAAGGAAGAGCTACCATCAAGCCATGTTTAATGAAGGCACTACATGTTTCCATACAGATTTAAGATACCTTACAACATTATATGAAAATAGCAAAATATTCTAAAACATTAAGAGAATGGAGAGGGAATCTTGCAGTTATAAACAGGAGCCACAAATTAAGTTAACCATAAAGCAAAACCCTCAAAGAGTTGCTATCAAGGCCACTTGACTCAAGGGGTGCGGCCAAGTTCCTCTCAGCTTATATACCAGATGTCCTGTAGTGGGCATCATCTTTCCATAGGGTGCACACAACTTGCTGGGCTAGCTCTGTTAGAAACCCTCCCCACCAGGGGACTGTGATTTCAGCTCATCAGCATTGGCATCACCTTTGGACGGAAGAGAAATGGTGCATTTCAAGCCATACCCTACACTACTGAATCAGAAATGCTGGGACTGCCAGACTCTCCAGGGTCTAGTGATCTGTAGCCTGTCAAGCCTCCCAAATAGCTAAGGCACACATTAATTTATGAGATGCACTATCCTATATGCTTTCTTTAAGCCACCACTGAAATGCAGAATTCTCAGAAAAGACCCCCCTTTCTTCTCTTCCTTTTTGTCTTTTTAGATATGATCTCACTCTGTATGCCTGGCTGTCCTGGAACTCACTTTGTAGACCAAGGTGGCCCTGAACTCAGAGAGATCCCCTGTCTCTGCCTCCCAGTGCCAGCAAATTCCGTATATTCTATGAAATGTTAGCAATTTTATTTTTAAGAATGCATACACATGAGCCAACTGTGATAAATGGAATGTTAATATTCTTGCTAGCCTTTGGCTACGTTTTGTTTCCAATTTTCCTTTTGCTTATTTCTTTTTTGGTGAATTCCACTTAAATGTAATTTTCCATGAAAAACTTTCAGAATTTTTTTTGAAGCGAAAACTCATTTTATAGAAAATAAGGGATTGTTTTAAATTAATTGTAATTTTAAAATATAGCTTATTTTCTCCTAAAATTGTTTCTGGAAACATCTGTAATACAAACCAAACTGCAAATAAAAATAATTCTTGCCTAGTTCCTTCAGCTTCTAGTCCAAAGCCATGGTGCTCTCCTGAAGTTAGAAACAAAGTAACAAATCTCATCTATGAACAAGAACTTCCCCTCTTGAGTAACAAATGAGAGAAGCCAGGAATTTGTTCTAAAATGTTTGTGTTGGACAAAGTTGAATGTCATGCCTTTAATTTGCGTTAGAACAAAACCTTGGACATGACTCCCGGACTGGATTCCAATTAACTCCCCAGCTATGGCATTAGCTTTCATAGTGACGATTTTTCCCCCCTTTCTCCAAACTATACAAAGAAAACTGTTAGGTATGCACCCTGTTTCTCTTGTTCAACCCAGTATTTTTCCTCACTAACATGATCCAATGCATCTTATGTGATCTGTGTTTATTATTCCAAAGTCTGACTCAATAGCTACACCAATTTCACACAAAACATGTTAAAATTAACATTCCTTTATGTTACCTGTGTATCTGGGTGGACAGAGACAGATATAACCTCGCCCAAGTGGTTGGCAGGTTCCACTGTTGTGGCAAGGGTTTAAGAAACATTCGTGGAAGACCTATGGGGCAGAAAAGACATGTATCACAGAGAAACACTCAGTTCATTTCAGAGCATTCCTATAACGCTGTCATGTTGCTTCCAGGTGAGTGCATTCAAGCTAGCTGGGTCCCTGCTTTGCCACAGGAGCCTGCTATGTATGGGCACAAACGATGCTTCTTCACTGAGGTAAGTGCAGTCAGTGTTCCCAAGTGCTGGTTGCAAGATACAATTTATTAGAGATGCTTTTGAAATATATGAAGTACAGGGGTCAATCAAGGCCAGATAAAATAGATACTCTAGTGTGAAATCCATATGTTATTACTTAAAAATGGTCATTGCTTTAGAGGATCCTACAAATTTCTGTGCTCAGCCAGTTCATTTTCAAATGTGACAACATGTAGAGCCCTAGCAGCTCACTATGTTGGGCTGTCGGAGGTTGACAGAAGAAATGTAGTGTCATTGGTTTTTAAAAATGTCAATCCCTAGGGACTCATGACCCTTGGGTAGGATTAATTAAGGGTAATGACAGAATCTGACATAGCAGACCATCTTAAAATAGAAAAGAGCAGAACAGGCCTGGGAGTTCCTTGGCAGGACACCTGCCAAACATTGTGAGGTTGTCAGTTCAATTCCAACCACCATACACATGCTGGCAAACACACATGCACACATATGCACAAAAGAAAAGCAATTGGTTTAAGTTCCCGAGTGACAGTTCTTAATTCTTTACACATTATCCACAGAAATAATTTCGTTGGTCACAGAATATGCAAATAATTTTGAAATAAAATGTGAATTATCTTTCTACCCCCAGAAAAAGTCTTTGGTAAACCAAGCCTCCTTTTGCACTGATGGGTCAATTAATGGATCAAAGCCTCCCATATCTATACACTGTTGAGCAGGCATTTCTGGGAAAATAGCTCCAATTTTTGGTACTAAGAATGTCTAACATCACACTTTTTGAAAGTTCTTATTAAGAATTAAAACTAAATATTCCTCTATAGTATTCATAATCTGACTAAGGTTTCAACCCCAGTATTGTGTGATATGTAAAATGGCAAATTATTCTCTAAGCATCTCATCAAAGAGCAAGTTGTGTGCAGGGAGCTGACTTGCCTGGCTGCTGACTTCATACTTCTTTTGGGTACGTCCAGGGGCTGCGAGGGGCACTACGCTTTCTTCTGCTGCTGAGAAAGTGGAGCTAAAACCTAACAAGACAAACAGGCAAGAAGTCAGTGTGTGGTAGGTATGGCTCATAATTAAACTCTCTCAAAATAAGATCTGGTTGCAGAGTGAGTCAAACCACATGTATTTTGTTTCAGTAATATTAAACAGGAAAACAGTCATGGGTGGCATGTCATTCCATCCTAGACTCTGAGAGAGATATTTGAAAGTTACCAAGTACAACCTTTCCAAAATAATTCTTTTAGTCTTGTCATCAAAAAGACCTTAAAAGGAGCCGGTAAGATGGCTCAGTGAGTAAAATCACTTAACATCAAGCATGGTGGCCTGAGTTTGATCCCAGGACACACATGGTGGAAGTTCTAAGTTACAACTCCTGTAAGCTGTTGTTTGACTCCCACTTGAGCATAGTGGCATGTGCATGTGTGAATGTATATACACATGCTTGCACACACATGTTCAGACACACGTGTGTACAAGCAACTACATAAATAAATAAATGTAATAAAATTGTTGTAAAAGGCCATAGAAGGATGACTTAAACCTAGATATCAGAATCTACCTGAAATGGTAATAGTCAGAGTAGAAGAGGCCAGAGAGGCACAGGTAAGACCCTAGCATAAGGTCTGAGAACTCACTTGAGCAATCCGTGATGGATGTGGCACCAGTGATTGTTGTAGTTCCATAAAAGGGACAGGCTAGGCAGAAGGACTTCCCTGCATTGGGCTGGTAGTAGTCTCGAGGGCATGGATAGCAGGGTGTTAACCCAGAACGGGAGAATTCTCCTACTGGACAGGGCACTAGGAAGGAAAACAAAAAGATTGTGTGTGTTTCAAATGACTCATTACATTTAAGATAAGCTTCCTAACCTTCAGTGTGAGAAAGCTACTGAAACACTTGTGTCACCTCTTTCTATGTGGAAAGGGAAGTCCCAGATGCTTACTTAAATTAGTCAACTGATAGTATAAGATGAGAAATGGTGCATCTGTATTTATATATGCAGTGAACAAAGGCACGTGCTTTCAGTTAATGTTTCCAAAGACAAAGCCAGAAGTCACTTAATGCCTGTGACTTAAGTCCACCCTAAAGGGTCTGAGTGAGAGGTGGTATCATTTTGGTTGTCATAAACATTAATCCTTGTCCTATTGGGTGGATGTGCTAACAAAGATGAATAGGTACCATTTATGGGACCAAAAGCTTTCAGATTTTGTAGCCACAAGCCAAAAGATATTATTGTAAGAAGAGGCAAAATGCATAAAGTTTATATTGCATGAGCATAGTAATAATATATGGCATATAATTGTTACAGTGATTATAATAATTTTGAGCATGATGAAATATAAAGGTATTTTGTTTTTAAGAAGCATTAGGTAAACTCAGCAAAATACAGAATGACACATCTATAAACATCAATCAATATAGAAAGAAAATAATAATGAAAGAAAGACAAATGGAAGGAAAGAAAGAAGAAAGTAAGGAAGGAAGGAAGGAAGTTCGAAACTAAGAGGGTCCATTTTATAAATCACATATACTACCATTTTAAAATATAATAGTGTTGGTCCAAACCCACAAGAGAGAGAGCTGGGTTATTCCTGCTTCTTGTCCATGATGAGGAGAATATGGCCTACAATGCTGGGAATACTGGGAGACGTTACCAGAATGTCTGCCACATTCTGGGATTTAGAACTGCTTAATTGCAAAGCTGGAGCTAGACAAATCTCAAGGCTCATTTAGAAAGCTAAAAGAAAAGGCAAATGTGAATTAGATTCCCTATAAAATTTCCAGTTGCTTTGTGGTTGGAGGATGTTGGGGTAGTGTCATAACTATTTCACTGCAGACTTTCTTTCAAAATTAGTTCACATATTAACAAAATCAAAGAGTGCCTAGCAAATCCATTTCAAGCATAATGCAAGACTTTGACTTTTAAATAAAAAAGAAATTAGATGTGGCTTTCATACAATAGACATAGATTATGGGCTTCAACCATGGTCTAGAAAAATCCTTTTCTCAACATTTTGGTGAAACATTAGATTGATGAACACTGCTCAAAGAATCTGTGAGGTCTAAAATTTTTATCTACCATGACCCTGGTACACTGAGACAGTTTAAACAAATGGGAAGACGTATAAATCTTATCGCTCAACATCCATTCTCCTACTTCCTATGACTCTCAACTTCTGAGGACTACATCTCCTTAGATGTAGCTCTGGCATACCCCTTCCGCTGTCATGTGTAAACTGCCCACTTGGTGGTTTTGAGGAATCTCAGTCTCTTTTTGGTTGTAGCTGTATATGGCTGTAGCTCAGTGAGGAAGTGTGTGCATGGCTCTCTGTGTAGCCTGGAGAACTGGCACAGAGCAGGCTGGCTCTTAGGAAAACATCTTTTTACTCTCTGGGTTGCCATAAACCTTAGGCTTTTAAGCCAGAGGATAAAAAGTGGGAGGACACATGCTTTTAAGAGTCACTGCACAGGCCAGCTTGTGAGTCTCTGTGATACTGCAGAGGCAGTCCACCAACCTTTTATTCTGAATTCAGCTCCACCAGCTTTACAGGGAGACAAACTTTCAGAGTTTCTAGCAACAGGCTGGTGTGTGTGTGTGTGTGTGTGTGTGTGTGTGTGTGTGTGTGTGTAGGGTGTGTGTATATGTGTGTGTGTGACATTACTGTGTGTTCCTGTGTGTACACATTAGTGTGTGTTCATGTGTGTGTACACATTATCGTGTGTTCATATGTATGGGCACATTAGTGTGTATTCATGTATGTGTATACATATGTGTCTGTACACATTTTTGTGGGTGTTTATGTGTGATTGTACATTTGTATCTGTGTATTCATGTGTGTATGTACATTTGTGTGTGTGTGTTTGTGAGAAGAGGTCAATATTGGGTATCTTCCTCTATCACTATGCATCTTATTTTTTATAATAGGGTCTCTCACTGAACCTGGAGTTCATTGGTAGATGAGACTGGTTGATCAGTAAGACCCAGAGATCTTCCTGCCCCTACTTCCTACTGCTGGGATCACATGAGTGCTGCCGTGTCTGGTTTCTTATGTGAGTGCTGCCAATTTTAACTTAGCCCCCATGTTTGTACAACAAGCATCTACTGACTGAAGCATCTCCCTAGCCTATAACAGATCAACTTTGACTCTAAGTCTGGTTTTGAGATAGTGTGATGTTTTTATCTTCTAGTTTTGTTTACATCTTCAGGAATTTCCAGCTGGATAACTATAGTCAGCTGGGATATTAGAGCTAGTCAAAGTAGAATGCTGTCTTTTTCATTTCTATTTAAACCAGTGGCTGCCTCGGTGTGATCCCTGGACTAGTAAAAGTAGGCATCACCTCAATACTAGGTAGAAATACACATTATCCTTAGTGAATCAAAATTCTGAGGATAAGGCCCAGAAACTTGTATGTCTACAGTGGCATGAAGCCTCAAGCTCGTTACTGAGGTCTGTGCTATATACAGAGAGCCCATTGTTTATACTGAAGTGCTGACCAGCAAAAGAAAAGGACCTCCCCAAGAAGAGACAGTTATTTACATTCTTCACATACTGTGGGCATTTAGTTTTGTTAAGAGCATCTCACTCCTCCACTCAGAGAACTTAGCATATGTAAATAAGTATAAACATCTAAAGCATTGGTGATAACCTCCACAAGCAGAGATGTCTATAGCTCCTCTTTTCACGGTTGTGGTGGGTTCTGGGCATAAGAGGCAGCTCCGGGATCCAAATTCTGGTTGATAAGTACCCAGTGGACAAGATTCACAGGTCTCAAGCCCACTGGAAGAGTAGGTGCCTTGTTTACACTGAGCTGAAAAGAAACATACAATGCAAATGAGCAAAATTAAGCTGTTTAAAATTAGCTGTGTACAGGGCAGGGCTTCCCCAGTCTAAGTCATGGCAAAAAAGGAGACATGTACTCTTCCTCTATTGCTGGTCACACATGGTAGATCCACCATGCTTCCATATACTAAATTTTAGACACATAGCCAGTTCCTTCCATCACTGGCTATCAGTGTTCTAACCACATGATTTGGTTAGCAGTCACTGAACAAAGCTTGAAATAGACACCATGGTGAGTCACTGTCTTAAAGACAAGTTGTGCACCAGGAAAGTGTAAACAGTGACAGAAATAGAATCTCAAATTGGGCTCCCTGCATCCAACTACTACAACACCTCACATCTCCAAATAAGAGTGGATTCTGCTGCTCCTTCAAACATTTCATTTCATTCTCCAACCACCGTCTTCTCCTTTGATCTCCCCAAGGGACTCTTTTTTTTTTTTTAAAACATTTTTGGTACTTTCCCAATCACCGGGTACCTCCTAGAATTTAGGTTTATCATTAAGTACCCATAACTGCCTTCATATCCTTAGCACGGAGAAAAAAATTGAAATTTCTTCTGTAAGGTGTGTCTTCTGTTAACCTTCATTATGAAAGAAAATGTTTCCACTGGGGATTTGCATTGTAAAGAACAGAGAAATGTGGAAAATACTGCATATTTTAGTAGCAAGAATCTATTCATCTGTGTCTGTTGGAATTCATTTCCAAGTCAACAGAGAATTGATCTCATCACATAAAATACTGTTCTAACAAAAACTAAGTTGATGATTATTAAGTGCCACGAAAGTCCTTCCTACTAATTAGTGTGAGGGTCAAGAAAAAGAATTCAGGATAAATAATGCATGTGGACTGAAGCTTGAGGGAGAAGCATGTAGTAAAGCATAGGTCCAAAAAGGAAGGTATATGATTTCTTCGGAATACAGAGACACTCAGTACTTTATAACTGGAAAGAATATGTAAAATTGGTCTCAATACTGTTCTTATTTCATCGTATTTTTAGACTGATGATTTGAAACAGAGCTAAGAACCCTCTACCCCAGTGGTTCTCAACCTTTCTAATGCTGCAACCCTTTATTACAATTCCTCATATTGTAGTGACCTCCAACCATAGAACTATTTTTGTTGCTACTTCATCATAACTGTAATTTTGCTAGTGTTATGAATTATAAATATCTGGTATATGGGGTATCTGGTATGTGACCCCCAGGAAAGGGTTGTTCAATCATGACCCACAGTTTGAGAACCACTGTGCTACCCCAAAGTATGGCATCTAATTGTATTATTTTAAGCTAAAGGAACTTGAGAGCACTGTAGAAGCAGACAGGTCTCTCTGAACCTCCCCTGCTCTTTGTCTCTCACAGTGGGTCTTAAGTCCATATGATACACATCCATTCTGCTACCCAGAGAAAGGAAGCATGCTTGACTCTGAAGACACTGGGGCATGGGGGAGAATGCAGACAAACAGGCCTTGGCAACACCTTCCTAGTTTATTACACTAGGTCATACTCTATTTGTCCCATCATATTTCTACATAGCCACTTACCTCACCATCACACATGGCATGACACACACATTTCCTAGTTTCATTGCATCTTCAATTCTAAAGTTTCCTGTGCCACATAAAATTCTCATTAAATAAACGAGTGTGATTGTCTCTTGTTGATTTATCTTTTGATACAGGAACCTTGACAAAGACCAAGTGATGGGCAAAGAAGCCTTTCTACCATTACAACTGGATACAAAATCCAGCTGGCCTCTGGTCAAAGCATGTAAGCCTCTACCTTTGCATTCAGAGATGCTTCTCGAATGGAGATATTCAGTGTGAGTCCTGGGGGGACAGAGCTTGCACTCAAGCTGCCCTTCTTCATCTTGATAGGATCCCATCAGGCAGCTTTCACAGGTGGAATGCTCCATCGAGTAATAGGTTCCCAGGGGGCAATTCACTGTGAAGAAAATAGCCAGACAATTCAGGTCCCCCCCACCATGGCACCCTTTGGTGCTTCTAGGTACTCTTGTTCATGTGTTAAATTTTACTGTCAGAGTTTCTCACCCACAGTGAGTAGGCCTTCCAGAAATATGTTTCTAAAAACCATTAGTAGTAGATTTTTATTTTGAGCAGATGCATAAGTTTTAATGACCAATCTTAGGGTTGTTATGAAGGGTGTCTAAATAATGGAGGAAAGCTATGACAAACCATAACATTATAGAAAATACATAGTTAACAAAGGGAAAACTGCCAGAAGACAAGGATAAAATAATGAATATTTAGATGAACTTGTGATGGTTTTGTGATATTAAAGATGTTTTCTAAATTATCTCTCTGCATGCTCCCCCTATAAAATTAAACTATGTGTCCATTTCAATGTCATTTCTAGAGACAAGAAACAGATCAACACAGTAGGACTAAAACAGGTGAGGAATAGCATTGGCCATGCTTAGAGAAGTTCTTGTCCTATGAAGGTATCCTCTAATCTAGGGGCTCCAAGGAAACAGGTGCATTTTATAACTTGTAGTGGCATGGACATTCTGAGGTCAAATAGAATGTTAAACTCACTGAGCAGGCTGTCATTAAAGTCAGCGTTCTAGAGAGACATCTGAACTTCAGACCTGGTGACTCAGAGATGCTAATGAGTACAGCTAGGACCTGGGTGTTTATTAAAAACCGTATTTCTAATTCTCTATCCCTAAAGTGCCAGGTGCACTAGTTCTTGGGTGGGCCTGGAGCACAAGCATTTTAAGCTGGTACAGACTGTCTGAAGACCTCACTGAGACTAGAAAACAGTGATCAAGACGATTCCTGCTTGTTCTCAGACAGTGAAAAAGAAACCAGAGTAGGCTCATAATAGTTTTGAATGAGCTGATTTTGTCACACTAGGGAAAGTACAAATGATAACAGATGGTAGCAAAAACTGTCAAAGGTTTCCCAGACAGAATACAGGGGTCATGGCTTAAGGGAGACTAACATAAGATTCATGTCATTCACTGTGTTTGGTGTGTGTGTGTGTGTGTGTGTGTGTGTGTGTGTGTGTGTGTGTATTCGAGTGTGTCTCTGTTTTATGCATGTATCTTGCATGATTACTTGTGCCTATATGCATGTGGAGGCCAAGGGAGAAAAACAGGTCAGAGTTCATCTACATTGTAATTGTAGCTGTGTAGAATAGTGTTAAGGAGATAGGGAGGAAGATGGGCAATGACTAATGAGTATGAGAGTCTGTGAAGATGTTCTGAAAATAGACAGAAGTAATGACTACAACCTACTAATGAACTAATGCCATTAAATTGTACATTTTAAAGTACTTATTTATGTGAATTTTACCCTCGTTGAAAAAAAGTCAAAATTTTAGAATTGGCTATGTAGTTAGGAATCTCTGCTATATCACTTTCATTGAGTATGTTTTATGCCTCTCCGGCTTTACTTTTCTCTTCTGTATTGTGTACTAATATTAACAGTACAGTATAGAGATGTTGAACAGCATTAAACGGGAAAGGTGTGTATCTCATATATAGAAATGGTCAAATACATGAGCTACTGTTGTTGGAGCAACTTATAAAAAGGTCATGAGGCTGTTTTGGTTTTCAAGATAAATATTTATTTATTTATTTATTTATTTATTTATTTATTTTTTTGTGTGTGTCTAAGCATGCACACAAGTGTTAGTGGAGGCCAGAAGAGGGAATCAGAAGCCCTGGAGCTGGAGTTTCAGTGGCTGTAACCTGCCAAATATGGATGCTGAGCCATGTCTTCAGTACCACTGTAAAGTTTAAAAAGCTATAACTGAAAATAAGATTTGTTTCCCTCACATCAAATACTTTGCTTGTCCTCAACAATGGTATATACTCATGTTCTCGAGATAATACAGTGCAGTAATAACCACACAACAATGCAAAATGCCTGTTCCATGTCCATGTTCTTTATACACTTTTGGAAAACATCTGTACCCAGCTCATTTGACCCAGTAAACAGCTGGGTCCCAGGGGAGGCTTACCACACATGCGTCCCCTCAGCACAGAGCCTGGTCTGCAGAAGAGAAAGGCCTTCTCTGTCTCCAGGGAATTGCTGTCAGCCACCACCATCTCGGAGGCAAGCCGGAAAGAGTACATAGGCTCCTTATTCAAGGTGCTCTTCAGGCGGTTTGTGATCGTTTCCAAAGTCTTAATGAGTCGCTGCTGATTTTCCAATTCAAGGGTATCATTTCTTTCCTCTGGCAGTGGCACACTAGCTGAGATAAAAACACAACAAAATTAAACATGCATGTACAAACACACACACACACACACACACACACACACACACACACGCACGCACACACTCATACACACAAAGGGTATGTTAGGCACTAACTATCATAATAATTTTTGCCCCCAATGCAGTTGTATCTTACAGTCTTTCAGAAAAATATAATTTACAATAGGCCAATCAGCTCTCATTGGATAAGTTACACATGGGTAGTATGAAGAATAAAACATGTCTGCTTGAATTCTTTCCCAAGATGCTGGTTTTACATCATCTGTTGAGGGAATTCATCATGACAGGATGAATTATCCTATATTTTTGCTTTTTAAAACAGGCCTCTTAGTTCATCCTGTCAACATGCAAGTAAAGCAGGGTGCTGATCACTGCAAGGACCAGAAAACACATCTGTGACATTAAACAGCAACCCATGACTATGCTTAGTTGGCCACGCTCTCTCTGGTTCTCTCCAGGGTTACTTCCTAATAAACACAAGGCACGACAGGTTTCAGAACTAGCTTCCCAACCCCAAATTTCACCTCATATTACTTTGGCAAATGGAAAGTTTACCCTTACCTGTGATGTTAAAAATTAGCTGAATTTTGGGGTCAGACAATGGGGCAGTTCTTTTAATCCGTGCCGATCTGGCTTTGCCCACACCTGTAGGTGTTTCTTGTACAACATCCAGGAAGTGATCATAAGAGTAATCCAGCCTGTTACCTGCACCCCAGCCCCCTGGTCCTGATGCAGAAAAACAAGTGATCAGACAAGTGTATCTTCCTCCATGTTCAGGTTCTAATGTCACAAATCAAACTGCGTGCAACCATTTACTCAGTTGCCCTTGGTGTACATATGGGTTTGGCCCATAGCCTTACATTGTCATTTTAGGGGCATTTTGCATTTAATCTTGAGACTATTACCCATTTTCCTCTGAAAGTATATAGGATTTATAGCATCTTTAAGTTACCAGGCAAATACCTCACTTTAGAGGGAACTGGGAGAGGGGGTGCAGAAGTAGAATCTATTTCTATTTCTCATCTACACCTCTCTCCATTTAAAAAATGGCTTTACAAGCTTAATGAGCATAGTCAGATTTCCTTTTGTAAGTATTATTCAGAATATCTGCCTCATATATTCAAGGTGAGGAAGCTGGCAAAGACAGCCTACGAAGTTTGTGTCACTGGAGAAGACAAGGACGTGTGTGACTTGTAGAGTGCCCTTGATGTCACTGTCATTATAAGCCAGATTTTCACTTCATAAAGTGTGATGCATGATCGTATAACCTTGGCCAACTGCTTTAATCTTTCTGAATTCAGATTCTCTCATTAATAAATGGAGATAATGAGCCCGACTTCACAGCATTGTCTGGAGTAAGATGGGGCAATTTATATGTGCCACCTGGTTTAATATCTGACTCATTACAAAACCCCAGTGTGTCAACTAATTATGTGATATCCATGTCTTTCTGGCCATACTGATGCTTAATTATGTGCTTTACACAGTAGTTGTGTTTGTGAGCCTGTCACCAAGGTAAATTGTTTTCAAAGATTTCTTGGCTTTCTGTATGTCTTTAAAAAGCTGGGGTCAATATTTTTGTGATTTCGGTTACATGGTTTCTCACAACTACTAAGTAGTAATTATGAAAAATTTATTTATCATACTTAGAAAATCTTCGAGAGAAAATTTCAGTCTACTTGGAAAAACACTCAAAATTATGCATAAACTTAGATTTTAATAACTGGATTTTATAACCTGGGAGAGAAATATGGATATTTATGTGTAACTATTTTGAATTAATGGCCAATTGCATGCCATATAAAAATTACTGGTTACCTACTTTCTGACTGTTATGATTACATTCTATGACAGGTCACTTTTAAAATTGCCATCACAATGTGACCTTTATCCTGAAGTGCTTTGGCTAATATTTTAAAGTGATTCATTTCATACCAAAATTTAAGATATCCATAATGAACTCTCACATGATCAGATTATGTAGCCATCCTAAAATACTTGATGAATAAATTAATAAAAGCTAAATTTTCTTTTTCTGTTTTCTACCACTCCCATGGGGTAATTTCATTTTGCTGATCCATCTTGCAAACCACCACTGCTAAATAATGCCATTACCAATTGCAAAGCCATTTTCATAGTCATAATTATATTCGATGCAGTATTTTTTGGTCAGGTCCTCCAGTCTGCAGTCAATGTCATCAGCATCACTACAAAAGGACGGGACCTGCAAATGAACATGAAGAGGAAGAGCATGGAAACCACACCCCTGTGTGCTTCTGGTGAGCTCTTGGCTCTTCTGAACCTCAAGCCCCATCATCAAGAAAGAGAGGGAAGGTCCTTCATGTTTCCAGAACTCTACATGTTATTAGTAGAAAATCCTTTTGGATGGAGATGTAGCTCAAGTGCTAGAGTACTCGCCAGGAGTGCACGAAGCCCTGGATCCAATGCCCAGTAACACATACTGAGTGTGGTGGTACATGCCCCAAATCCAGTAGTTCACAACCTTCCTAATGCTGTGACTCTTTAATGCAGTTTCTCATGTTTTTGTGACCCCAAACATAAAATTATTTTCATTGCTATTTCATAACTATTTTCCACTGTTATGAATCATAATATAAATATTTGATATGAAAATGGTCTTAGGTGACCCCTTTGAAAAGGTAGTTCAACCTCAGAGGGGTTGCAACCCACAGCTTGAAAACCATTGCAGTGTAATCCCGTCACTAGGGAGGTGGAGGCAGGAGGACCAGCAGTTCAAGGCCATCCTTGGCTACATAGTGAGGTAGAGGCCAGGATGGGCTACATGAGACTCTCTCTTGAACAACAAAATCAGAATCAAAATCAAAATGCAACAGCAAAAATAAAACCTTTAAATGTTCAATTAGTTCTTATCATAAAATAATTTTGGGCATTTTCTGTCAGACTTTAAATAATAAGACAAGTATTTTTAAACCACAAAGATCCTAAATTTATTTTTTTTTAACTTTCTGGTTCATGTTATTTCAAAACATTTTGATGCAAACTGAATTTAGAAGTCTAAACCCAATAAGTAATTCTAAGCATGAATTTGGATCTCAAAGAGGGACACGTTCAGGAGTAGGAATTTCAGTTACAAACCATCCAGTGAAGTGAAGACCAGTTAAGACCACCTTAGTAGTGCCCTTAGTGTCCCCATACAGCCAAGGCTTCCTGGTGACATACCATTTTCCCCAGGGTGGTTTCAAATGCTGTTGAAAACTTCTTAAGCAGATCCATGTCATCACAGCGAGTGGTTTTGTACAGCATCTCAAAGGACTTGAACCCGTGGTTTGCAAAACGTTTTACTAGGAAAGTTTAGGGGAAACAGCTTCAGTTGGGTAGAATTTCCAAGCCAAATTTCATTTCTTCCCCTCCCCTCTAACTCTCCTCCCCTCCCTTCCAACCTTTTCTCTCCCCTTCCCTCCTTTCCTTGCTCTTGTGCTAGGTAAGTATTCTATCACTGAGGTATACCCCCGGTCCAAAGATGTAGCTTTCTATGAAAAAACTGAAACACCAGAATTGAATCCTATAGGAGGACTAATCCCAAAAGATCACAACACATGTATGGTAATTCCACAGTGTGAGTTAATACTTTGTGTGCTAACTTAAAAAGTATTTTAAAGTTGATTTTCTTTTGCTTCTGATGTGATTTATAAGCTTGTTTTCATAGGGAGAGGTGGCAGTGAAGGTTTCCAGGCATCCACTGGCCACAGTAAACCACAGTGCAGTGGCGCTGGGCTCCTTTGCCCAGATGGGTTGGCTTTGATCTAACATTCTGTAACCTCCAGTACTATGAGGAAAGGAGCACTGGGGAGAGTAAGATATCCTTTGATCTTGACTACATCAAAGTTGTTTAAATTTATGTAAGTTTTTAATTATGTGTTTGTATTTTCAACTAACAGACATTTAAAAGTTTTAACTATTATGTGTAGTCATAATCATTGAAAGTATAATTTCCACCGAGGCAGCTTTGCTCTTGTAGCCAAAGCTTGCATCGTGGGCTGCTTGAGTCTAGGACGTGGTGAGCCAGGGGTTGGAGCCCCAGCACCATTACCTCACACTCACACTCATATACACACATATACACACACCTGCACACACTCCACTCCTCCACACTCCACCCACCACACATAAATACTGCACCCCACACTCCACCCCTACATTCACACACACTCCACTCCTCCACACTCCCCCCACATACATACTCCATCCCCAAAATCCACCTCCCCCACCACTCCACCCTCCCACTCCATCCCCCATACTCCAGCCACCCCCATATTCACACACACACACACTCCACCCACCCCCACATTCACACACAGACACACACACACACAGACACACACACACAGACACACACACAGACACATTCCACCCCCATACACACATTCAATTCCCTCATACACACTCCACCATCACAGACACTTCACCCCCAGCTCCCTCCCACACACTCTACCCCCTCCATTCCACCCACCCAGCCCCACATTCACAAACACACACACACACACACACACAGGCACACACACACACACACACACACACACACACACACAAACTCTACCCATCCCCACACTTAGAATGAACAATTCTGGATCTAATTAAAAGACACCACACAATCTACTGTATTACATCATCTACATTGGATATTAAGTTATGTAACTTCTTTCCACTAAGGAACTTCAGATTCATGCTTCCAGACTGAGAATTCCATGTTCACAAACTTTTTCAAGCATTTTTAATAAATCATAAGAAGATAAAGAGAGTTCATTCTTTCAATAGTAAACAATCTCTAACAAGACTCTGGTGGCTAATATTTTAAAGCATATACATTGCCCATTCATGACAACCTTCCCTTTAATTCTCCTTATAAGGGGAATTTTCTGTGTAACCTGCAGGAAGGCACACAGTGGTATACTTGAAAAGGTGCAGAATTGGAACTTACTTGCACAGTCTGGCCATTCAGTAGAATATGGTGGTCTCCAGATACCATCTTCAAAAGCACAGTAATACTTCTCAGTAGACCCTTCTGTGAAATCATACCCCTCCCGGCAACTCAGGGTGCAGTTAACTCCAGCACTATCCTGGGCACAGACAAAGTCCCCGTTTATAGGGGTGAAGGGAACCTCACAGGGAGAACCTGTGTCAAAATAACACTGTATTATTCAATTATAGTTTTAGAGCAGCATAGTCCAAGAATTAAAGCTGAGCTAGCTCAGAAGAGAGTTCCTCCTGCCTCCCACTCTCCCTAGGAACATTTCCCAAGGGGTCTCAGTATGGGAGAGGAGAGCAGTGATGACTACTTTTTGGTTCCTTGTATTTCAGGCAGATGTTTAAAAGTTGTACTGATGTGCAATTAGAAGTTCTGCACATTTTATAAAAAGGCTAATGCATATCTGACCTTACAGTATCGTTTCTGGCAAAATTGCTTATATAAAAATAAAACCTGGATAGCAAACATTATGTGGCAAAGATATTTTCAGGGTCTTTAAAGCAACACTTTGCAACATCAGGGGAAAAGGTTCATAAAACTGCAGTTATGGTGGTGAACCTTGACTATGAACTTGCCTGGGTTGAATGATGCCTACATGATTAGTAAAGCACTGTCCCCCCCAGGGGGTCAGTGAAGTTGTTGCACAGATGATTGGCAAGTGGGAGAGTCATCAACAGGGGAAAGGACCTGCCCTGAATGTGGGCAGTTCCATCCAATAGGCTGGGAGATGGGATGGTATAAAAGGGAGGAAGAGAAAGCCAGTTGGTACGTCCATTCTTCCTGAACTAGTGCATCTATTGTAGCTGCTGCCACTCCTGGACACACCCAGGTTCTTTCAATCTTTGAGTTTCCCAGTGACTCTCCAAGGGGCTTCCAGGCCCTCATCATTGGACTGGGATTGTGTTGTGAGGATGAAGGATACACCCTTCAGGCTTCCAATTTCTTGGACTGAGCAATGACTGGGTTCTCTCTGCATCACCAGTGTGCAGAAACCTTCGTTGGGCTCTCTAGCCCATATCGTCTAAGGCAACTCAGAAAATCCCTTTATAACTGGTTCTTTTTCTCTAGGGTACTCTAGTTAACACAGGAATTACAGACACCCTCATAGAAGATCTGCCACAAGCTCAAGGATGACAACTGGAAACTTAGGATTGGTCAGCATTTCAACTTGAAAACTCAGTACTCACAGCCTATCTTCCCCTGCCCCCAGTGATCACATATATCAAATGTCAGCTAGACTGGGGAGAGTCTGGTGGAGAGAGTACCTTTTATGACAATGTGGATGTCACAGGTTCTGTTGTTGCCTGATGGGTCAGTGGCTGTATACCACACTACAGTTTCCCCATGAGGAAAGAGGTCTCCTTGTGTGTGACTTCGGGTAATGACCAATTCAGCCCCTAGGGATGGAAGAAAGCGTGTGATTTCTGAGCTGCATCATTGGGCAGCTCTGCCCTTACCCTTTCATCTGATGTGCTTTCATTTCCTATTCACGCAAATTGTCTGCGAAATCCAGTTAGCATGATTTGTCTACTGCTAGAGAATAAAAGATGCAATATTTAGGCTGTACCACAGAAACAATAGACTCAAAATTCCATTGAATTAAGAACTTTTGATAAACAGAAGTACCTTTGACTCAGTCTGTTAGGATATTGGCAGTTTAAGAAATTGATCCAGCTTTCCTTGTTTTAGGGAGAGTTTTTTAATGGACTGCAGTTACTGTCACTTGGGTTTTTTCCCACCTTCCTATGGCCTTAATTTATTCATATAGTGTTTGGGGATGAAAGTGAATACACAGAATTTGACTGGAGATGCCAGTAGGAACTCATCTTTTATATTTCCATGTCATCATAGACCCAATTTAGTAAACTCATTAAAAACCTGCAAGTTCAAAATCTATCAAAGGTCTAATAAATGCCCAGTGGTTATTGAATAAAGAGGAAGTCCAATGGCAAAGCAAGATGCTAATGTTAAATTATATGAGTATTAAAACACAACATTGGTGCCATTTCTCACTCTTCTTAGCTGTTACTTTAATCATTTGAAGAAGCTTTTAAGAGTAAAACCTGGCTGGTGCTACCCAGCCAACAAGATCTGTGTGTCCTCACCAGAGTTGTCTGAGAACTGAGGCTCATCCCAGCTGGCAGAGTGCTCCTTCTCTACTACCTGGATGGGAGGTGGAGATCGGCACCAATCTATGACGGGCGGTTCCACATCTGCAGAACATGGAATCAGACAAAGAATCATGACTGTTCTCTAGTAACTGTAACTAGCCTGGCAGACCCTAGTACCTCCTAGTCTATCAGACTATTGAAGCAATGGACCCCAGATGTTTCCAGAGAGAAACTGCTGGCAGAAGGAGAAGGCACCAGGTAGAGAGGGAGATTGTCTCCCAGAAAGAGGTCTCACACAGCTCTAACAATGTGTTAGACATCTTAAAGGATGAGACTGAAGCCCAGACAATGATGTGTCAGTGGTGGGTGGAGACACTCTTTGAAGTGAACTGCTTAGATGTTCATGTCCTTGGCCTATCACTTAAACTCTAATTTCACCTCAGGACTCTAGAGACAGACTTGGGGTTTGCTGGAGCTCATTATCTCTCTTTCCAATGTGGCCACAACAAATTAGCTGTTTTCTTTCTGGTAGTGATCTGACTCCTTTAACTGGCTTACTAAGGATGAGTGGTCAAACCTGGCTGGAGGCACAGGCTGTGACCTTCACGTTTGATGACCTTACTGAGCATTAGAATCCACACTGAAGGTTGGCATGCTGGTGAGTTTTAACTGTCAACTTGACACAACCTAGACTCATCTGAGAAAGGGGTCATGTTGAGGGACCATGTTGATCTGCGGGCATGCCTGTGTGAGACTGCTCTGGGCATTGAGATGGAAAGATTCACTCTAACTATAGGTGGTATCATCCCCTGGATAGGGGTTGTGAGCTGTGTAAGCATGAAGAAAGCTAGCTGAGCATAAGCAAGTGAGCAGGCAGCAAAGGTGCATTTGATATTTCTGCTCTTGACTCAGATGTGAGGAGACTAGCTGCTTTGAGTTCCTGCCTTGACTTCCTCTCAGTTGTCAACTGTAAGCTGGAATTATACTCCAAACAAGTCCTTGCCTTTTCTAAATTGCTTTGAATCAGGGTTTTTTTTTATCACAACAACAGGAGTGTGCCTGGAAGAGATGGCTTTAAGGTAGGATGGGAAGCCATGTTTTAAAGTACTGATTGAATGTGGTTTCAATTTCTGGATGAAGAACCTGGGCAGAGGACACTCATATATACAAAGGAATTGTTTTTGTAACCCTCCCCCCACAATTTGGAGAAGACTTACCAATAACCTTAATGTAGAAAGTGCAGCTGGCTTGGTTACTGGATGAGTCAGTTGCTGTGTAGGTGATAGCTGCTTCTCCAATTGGGAAGAGGTAAGGTGGGGTAAAGGCTGGATGGACATGGACTGACACCTTACAGAGACAAACAAATATTTGATAATGTCAGCAGTGCATTGCTCGTCTTTTGATTTGTATATTATCAGCATAGGAATAAGAAGATACAGTATTTCATAGAGAAAAAAGGAGGATGAAGCACACACATCCCTGGGGAGTATTTTTCACACCACTATTTTCACCCTTTATAGGGGTGGAATACATATTGTTCCTTATGTTTTAAGCACAATGCAATAGAACACTTTTGTACTCTTGAGTGATCTTCAGAACTTAAGAAGACTTTTACATGTCCCATTCATGTTCATACAAAATATAATTTCTTTCAGGAAAGTATGTTGAAGAACTTTTAATTTGGTTCCAAATTTTACTCTTATAAACAGTTTTATACACCAATTTAAATATATTTTTGCTATTTCCTTACAATATCTCTTCGTGCATAGACCTGACCTCAGACTATCAATATTTTATTGATGGGTAATAAAACATTTCTTCCTAAAAGTATGATAACAACTTGCATTCCCATTGTCTGGGATATGATATCAGTGTCAGTGTTCTCAGGTCTGTATTAAATATCTTCAACCTTGCTAAGTGAAAAGTATTGTGCAGGCCCTTATTTTAGGTTTTTTTTTTTTTTATTTTAGGGTATCTGTGTGATTCTGTGGATCCAAACCGGGGTTTCATACAGGCTAGGCAAAGCCTTCTAACATTGTTCTACATCCCAGTGCAAGTTTCTTAGTCTTCAGCAAAGATTACGTTCTCATGTTTACATTCTTCATTCACTGGAAAATTGCGATGTAATAAAAATTATATTAGCATGTTATATAACAATCATTATAACCGTTGACAGGTTTAAAGAATTTTTTGAATTTGATATTCATTGTTAGGTTAAGAAGTTAAATGATATATGAGTAAAATACTTATATAGTAAAATATATTTCTTTTCCATTTTATTTTTTTAAAAAATATTTCAAATAAGCCTTCCGGTTCCACCGACTTGATCCATAACGAGGAGAGTGACCCTCTGCTCTTACCCAACTCCCGTCCAAAGCCCCATACACCCTGATCTCTCTGTTCCTGTGCCCTCTTGGAGTAGACCTTCCCAGGCAGGGAGGAACTCCCTGAGTCTGGAAACACCCCACTCTTCCTTCCCGTTCCACCGACCTGACCCCTACGGAGATCTAACTCCTTCAGAGTGAGGAGACTACCAGGAGAGGCAAGACAATCCAAAGCTGCGGACATTGAATCCCTGGCCCCCACACACCACTGGGTAACAAGAGGAGATAGAGAGACTCCACCTGCACCCACTGGAAGAAGATGGGAAGAAGACAGAATAAGAACCCACTCAACAACAGAAAGACCAATATGACACCACCAGAATCTAAGGACTCCACACCAGCAAGATCTGAAAAGCCCAACACAGAGCATGAAGGAGAGATGGACCTCAAAAATTATCTCGGCAAGATGATAGAGACCTTTAAAGAGGAAACAAGAAAATCCCTCAAAGAAATAGAAGAAAAAGCAAGAAAAAAATTACACAAAATAGAGGAAAAGACAAACCAAAAAATTCAAGAAATAAACAAATCTCTTAAAGAATCTAAAGAAACCCAAGAAAAAACAACCAAACAAGTGAAGGAAGCTCTTGAAACAGTTCAAACCATGAAAGCTGAAATAGACACGATAAAGAAAACACAAAATGAGGCGATGCTGGAAATGGAAAGGCTGGAAAACGATCAGGAACTAAAGATGTGAGTATAACTAATAGAATTCAAGAGATGGAAGAGAGAATCTCAGCTATTGAAGACTCACTAGAGGATATACATTCATCAACCAAAGAAAACCTCAAGTCCAACAAATCCCTAACACAAAATATCCAGGAAATATGGGACACTGTGAAAAGATCAAACCTAAGAATAATAGGTATAGAAGAAGGTGAAGAAACACTGCTCAAAGGTACAGAAAACATATTCAACAAAAATCATAGAAGAAAACTTCCCCAACCTACAGAAGGATATGCCTATGAAAGTACAAGAAGCTAACAAAACACCAAACAGACTGGACCACAAAAAGAAGTTCCCCCAACACATAATAATCAAAACACCACATCTACAGAATAAAGAGAAAATATTAAGAGCAGCAAGGGAAAAAGGCCAAGTAACATATAAAGGCAAACCAATCAGAATCACACCC